ATCTCCGACCGCGCTACTGTGGACCGTTCCAAATTAGCCACATGATCACCCCAATTACCTCCCATTTACTGTTATCGATAGACTAGTACATCAGCCCGTCATTCCATGTCAGCCTGCTTCGCCCATACGTACTAAGGACAAGTCAACTGCAAGGACACCGCCCACCATCCATGACTCGCCCTACATCGGATCCAGTTGTCGAGCCCGAGAATATTCTGAGCCATCAGATTCGTCACACCAGAGGCATCACGAGGATCGAGTCCTTCGTTTGCTGGAAGAACTGCACGCCAACTGAAGATAGCTGGGTGCCCCTGGCCAACATTGAAAACCACCCTGCCCTGCAAGTGTACCTGAGGAGCTGGGGTTTCCGCGATATACATGCACTCGCATAGCGGAGGGGGCTTCTTTGGGCTGGAGGGGAGGAGGAGGAGGAGAGGGGGTGGGGGGGGGGGGGGATAGTGTCAAGGATTTTGTTTTTGGCATTTTTTACTGCGTACGCCAATATCGCGTACAGCAGCAGCCGTTGTTTACCCGTTACTGCTAACGGGGCTTCACCAACTTCGCGCACACTATTTCACCAAACCATGCACCGTCTGCTGGCCCGGCCGTGTCGGCCTACGCTTCGGGACTAGCCCGAACCTCGATGCCAGCCTAGCACTAGCTAGCTCGCACGCACCGCGTTACCGTTCTCATGTTTCACGTGTAAGTATTCGTTGATGTCTTCGTGCATACTTTGTACTCGTTAGCCACCTAGTGCAATCATCGCTATCTCGTTTCATTGCACCTGTAACATTTGGGGACAGTGTCAAGAGGAAGTCTAGGCAGGAATGAGAAACAGGAAAGAGGGTTTTCACTAGCAGGCAGTTGAGTACATATAGCAAACCCTAATTTGGGCTGTACTCGCTATAGAGTACCCCACTGCAGGCTAGACAAATATCATATTCTGACACACCCCCATAGTCAAAGTGGGGTACAATCAACACAACAAGCAGGCAGAGCAGTAGTTCACAATTATAAGCAAAGCTAGAGGCTATCACAGAGAGCAAGTGAGGAGGAGGAGAAACTGTGGGGGCGAGAAGATGAGAGGCGACGGCTGAAGCTGCAGACACACGGGCAACAGGAGTGCGCAGCACTGTCGCTACCAGGCTAAACCCGGACTACACGGCGACAGGCGCAGCTGGCTTACTTTGCTCCCAGGAGTGCGCAGCACTGTCGCTACCAGGCTAAACCCGGACTACACGGCGACAGGCGCAGCTGGCTCTCTGGACTACCAGGAGTGCTCACACTGTGGCTACCAGGCGCAGAGCCCCGGACTACACGGCCACAGGGGGTCGTGGCTCTCTGGACTTCAGGTGCTGCGGACGTCAAGACGACTGCCTCCACTCTGTCAGAATATTATGCTCTAGCCTGTAGTGGGGTGCTCTGTAGCGAGTACAACCCTTCTAGGGTTTGCTATTTGTATCCCCATTCTTGCTAGTGCAACCCCCCTCTTTCGCCTAAACTCTCTTGCCTAGCTAGGACTCTCCTAGCTATGGCTCCTAAGACTACCGCTTATCTCAACATGGTATCAGAGCTTAACGTTCCTGGCCTGTGGGCCCACTTCACTGCTTCCGCTGCTACTGCTACTCCCTGTCCGCCGCGCGCCCCGTGGTGCGCGGCGTCGAAACTAGGGTTTTCAGCCCGCCGTGCGCCCCGAGGCGCGCGGCGGTTTTCTGCCCGCCGTGCGCCCCGAGGCGCGCGGCGGTTCTCTGCCCGCCGTGTGCCCCGAGGCGCGCGACGGGTTCCTGCCCCGTCACTCGGCACGTCGCCCCCGGGAGGCGCTGCGACGGGCGACGGGGACCCGCGCGTCGCCCCCCGTCGCCCGTCGTGGCCTGCGCGCGGCCCGTACACCCGGCGCGCGGCCCGTACGGGCTGCGCCAGGCCTGCGCGCGGCCCGTACGGGCTGCGCCAGTCCCGCGCGCGGCTCGGACCGCCTGCGCGCGGTTCGGGAGGCTGTGCCAGGCCCGTGGGCGCCCCGTTCTTCGCTGCCCCTGTCCTCCCCGCTGTCCCCCGTGCTTCTGAAGGCGCCCCACCCCTCCTTCTGCCCGTTCTCCTGGATTAGGGTTTGGGGTTGGGGGGTATGGGGGTGCAGCTTCTGTGTGCCGTTCCCTGCTCCTCCTCCTCCTCCGTCTCCCTGTGCTGCAGCTGCCGCTGAGGGGGGTGGACCTGTTGGAGCCGTCGGAGTGGTACTAAGGGGGGGTGAAGGGGGAGTGGAGCTAGCGGTGTAGCAGCGGGTGTGTGTCGAGGGATGTGGGACTGTTGGGGGAGGTTGAGGGGAGGTTGCCGTCGTGTCGTACGCAGCGCCTGTACTCCGGGGCACTCACTCCCGGTAGCTCAGAGAGCCGGTTGCGCCGTCGCCTGTGGGTCCGTTGCTCCTGCTGCTCGTCTTAGCCGCGGAGCCTGTTACTCCTGTACTCCGGGGCACTCACTCCCGGTAGCCACTGTGTCGCACCAGAGCCGTCTGTTGCCCGTGTGACTGCAGCTTCAGTCGTCGCCTCCCATCTACTCTCCTCTCGCCAGCCCTCCTCCTCCTCACTTCCCCGTTGTGACTACCACTAGCTTTGCTCATAATTGTGAACTTTAAACTATTGCTTCTTAAACTTGTGCTCAGAATGTGTGGTGACATTGTGATCCACCCTGAGCTTGTACTGCTTTGCTTGCTCTGCTGATTACACCCCACTTTGGCTATGGGGGTGTATCCCCATTCTTGCTAGTGCAACCCCCCTCTTTCGCCTAAACTCTCTTGCCTAGCTAGGACTCTCCTAGCTATGGCTCCTAAGACTACCGCTTATCTCAACACACTCAACTTCCCCCAGCTGTCCCACACCCCTTTCACACACTCCCTGTTGAACCTCTAGCACCGCTCACACGCCACCCCCCTCGTACCACTCCGACGGCTCCAACATATCAACCCCCCTCAGCGGCAGCTGCAGCAGTGGGAGACGGAGGAGGAGGAGGAGGAGCAGGGGACGGCTCACACACCCGGCACCCCCATACTCTCCACCCCCAAACCCTAACACAGGAGCGCGGGCAGCAGCGGGGGTGGGGCGCGGTCAGAAGCTCGGGGGACGGCGTGCGGCACTGGGGCAGACTGTACGGGCTGCGCACGGGCCTGGCGCAGGCGGGACGAACCGCGCGGGCTGCCCGGGCCGCGCGCGGGCCTGGCGCAGCCCGTACGGGCCGCGCGCGGGCCTGGCGCAGGCCGTACGGGCCGCGCGCGGGCTGTACGGGCCGCGCGCGGGCCTGGCGCAGCCCGTACGGGCCGCGCGCGGGCCTGGCGCAGGTCGCGCGGGCCGCGTCGGGCGACGGGGGGCGATGCGCGGGTCCCCGGGGGCTCCGCGACGGGCGACGGGGGGCGACGCGCAGGTCGACAGGGCAGGAAACCGCCGCGCGCCCTGAGCGCGGTTAGGCAGAAAAACATCGCGCACGCATGGCGTGCGATAGGCGGTACAGCAGTGGACGCATCGGATGGGACCACCCACAGGATCGATCCAGGAGGGTCGACCTGCTACGATAGCATGTCAAGAGGCTAGGCAGGAATGAGAAACAGGAAAGAGGGTTTTCACTAGCAGGCAGTTGAGTACATATAGCAAACCCTAATTTGGGTTGTACTCACTATAGAGTACCCCACTGCAGGCTAGACAAACATCACATTCTGACAGACAGTACATCCCAGCTCCTTATGTTAAAAAATCTCTCAAATTTAGTTCGAAGTTTACTAAAAAAGTACAGCTTTATGGACACGAGAGGCCCACATTATGTTCAAAACTGGTCTTGTGGGGCAAACTTTCGACACGTGGCCATTTTTTCACCGGATTTTTTTTATGGGGCAAAAAACAGAAATCCTCTAGGGGAACCAGGACACATTTTCGGGAGGGATCAACCCTAAGCACGAGGACCCGCTAGGAGTTTAGGGTTGCTATCTCCACTCCCGCGAATGTGTCGTGGTTCGTGGTTCCCTAGGGTTTTATGTTTTTTTGTCCGCGTAAAAAAAAATTCCAATGCGAAAATGGACACGTGTCGAAAAGTCTGCCCCGCAGAACCAGTTTTTAGCATAATTTGGGCCACGCGTGAGCAAAATTTATATGAGCCATACCCTTTGAATAAACTAGGGACTAAATTTGTGAGAAATTTGAAACGAAGGAGCTGGATTTGTGCATATGTACTCGGCGGACAATCTGTTGTGCTGTACGCTTTTGTTGGATCATGCTCTAAACCGAGATACTGTTCACAACCACCCTTCCCGAACCTGCGGAATCGCTTTGAAAATATGGAGCTACACTGCCCAACCACAGCACCGCACCGCATCACCCTTCGCATACGATTCCGCACCACTCCGCACCATTCCGCACCACACGATTCCAGCATCTCGTCTTCCTAGCTAATCTGACTCCAGCGCGGATCGCGCCCCAGAGGTCCAATGAGCGGCTTTGGCGGGATGCCCAACGCCGCCTCTGACAAGCACCACCAGCATTCTGACCACACCGACCAATCAACAGCGCTGACTGCTACATCGCCGTATCGCCGCCGATGGTGATTGGTGAGCTCGTGGCTCTCTTGCGGGTGATAGCAAGAGATCTGCCATCGAGCTGCTCGATCCGTAATCGCGAGATTCGGGAACTGAGAGGAAACTAGCAGGAATAGCTTTTCAGACTTGTACAAGCACGGATATTTAGATGAGTCGGAGTTGAGTTTGAGAGAAGTCAGAACACACACATCATGTGATAGTCAGCTAAGGTTACTAAGGTCAGTCGCTAGGGTCAGTCGCTAAGGTTACTCTAGCAAGTGTTTCTATTGCTGCGTTCACAGCTTTGTAGCACTGCTGCATTCGAAAAACATGGAGTGAGTGCGACCCTTGCTCTTAAATCGACGGAAGGTCACTTAGGTAAGAGGCGATAATATAGTAACTACCAGTGATAGATCTGAGCGATATAAACGCAGAAAAAATCTCAGATATCACCATGGTAACTGCAGCAGAGCGTATGGCGAAAGTGGTGAACTGGCAGCAGGTGGCAATCGTGTCAACAGCCCTCATCGTCACCGTTATAATCACAAGCCAATGCTGTAAGCCCGACGCCCGCGTCGCTCTTCTTTCACACCAAATTTCTTTTATTTCCTGTTGTTCTTTTCTGTTCAATGTATGTTTTCAATGTCCACACCTCCACACCCATAGTATTGCCATCACGTATTTTTTTCGCTTACATCCCTTTGTCAAGCGGGGTTGCAACCCCTACTTTTGACGGAACAGAAGCACTCCCATACCGCATTTACTCACATCGCATATATCTCTAACCTTCCCTTCCTTATCCCTTCGTACAACTCAAATCGGGTGTGATTCGTGCAGATTCGGCTTCTTGGGATAAAAGTTCGAGCCGACCATCTGATGACTACACCGTCACTGCCAGTGACCAGCAATCCTCTCAGAAACCCTCGAGATTCCACATTCAGGACTACGGCCTTCAGGGACCCATTCCCTGGACGTACATCCGACCGTCCGTCCGCGATGAGTTCACTGTCAACGGCTCGATCCGGGCCGTTGATAAATTCTACGGGATGGATAAGGCGGACTCTGGAGCGAAGGCGTTCGTCTGGTCTAACGAATTTGTCGCCCAAAAACGTCGACGGGCGGAGAGGCGATTCCCTGTGGTTTCTAGTTACGGCGAAAATACAACCTTAACTTTTTATGAGGCGTTTGATAAGTACCCTGTGGAAGGGAAATCAGTGCTGGTTGTAGGAAGTCAAAACCCTTGGGTTGAGGGGATTCTCCTGGCGTATAAAGCTGGGTCAATCACGACCGTTGATTTTAACAAGCCGATTGCAGATTATCCCGGATTGAGGCTGTGGAATATTGCTGAGCTGGACGCTTCAGATGAGACCTTTGACGTGGTGGTTTCGTATTCGTCGCTGGAGCACGATGGGCTGGGGAGATACGGCGATCCGCTGAACCCAAATGGGGATCTGCAGAGAATGATGAAGGTAATTTCGCTGAGGTGCTCGGATTTATGAAATGCGGTTTCCGTGATACAGGTTGTCTAACCATGCTTCCTACGTGTTTCCTCTTGCGTCAACAGGTTCTCTCTGCTAAAATCCCTGAATCAACTGATGCGTGCGCGTCCTTACCATGCCCTGTTACCCGCATTGAACCATCCCCTCTCAGCATCCCCTCCCGGTTTTATATATCCCCATTACATCCTGCCATCCCTCCCAAGCCCTATGCTACCAATACTCGTATGCCATGTCATTCGCTTTGTCATTTGCCATGTCCTGTGCCATGGATGTCATCTCACATCTCATGGATGTCATCTCACATCTCATGGATGTCATCTCACATCTCATGGATGTCATCTCACATCTCATGGATGTCATCTCACATCTCATGGATGTCCATTGCCTGACATCCAATTTTGAGGCGCCTCATACCATGCTTGTGGTCTGGTCAATACTCACCTTTTGTACCATCATCACATCTCATCGATGTACATTGGCTGACATCCAGTTTTGAGGCGCCTCATACCATGCTAGTGCTCAATTACTCAGCTGTTGAACCATCTTCACAACTCAAGGATGCTCACTGCCTGGCATCCGCTCCTCCCATTTCTGGTCAATACTCAGCTTTTGAACCATCTTCACATCTCATGGATGCCCATGGCCTGGCATTCGCTCCCCCCCTTTCTGCCATGTCCTCCTGCAGCTTTCCCCCTTCGCTGCTGTGCAGGTCAGGGGCCTGCCTACGCCAGGCGGTCTCCAAACATATCGCATGCATCCCCATACCCTCACATACCCTCCTCTGCCTTGCGGTTGTGCAGGTCAGGGGCCTGCTTAAGCCACGAGGGCTCTTTCTCCTGGGGGTGCCAGCGGGTGTCCTGGGGGTGCCAGTGGGCAACGACTCGTTGGTGTTCAGTGCGCATCGCGTGTACGGCCTCCGAACACATCTCATGCATTCTCATACCCTCACATCCCCTCCTCTGCCTTGCCGCTGTGCAGATCAGGCCTGCTCAAGCCAGGCGGTCTCTTTCTGCTGGGCTCTCAGTGGGCACGACTCACTGGTGTTCAATGCAATGTGCATCATTCAATGCAACGTGCATCGTATTCCCTCCTCCCCTTTCAACTGTGCAGATCAGGGGCGTCCTGAAGCCACGAGGGCTCTTTCTCCTGGGGCTCCCAGTGGGCAACGCCATGCTGGTGTTCAATGCATCATTCCGATTGCATCTGTCCCCTTTGCTGCTGCGCAGATCAGGGGCTTATTAAAACCAGGAGGGCTCTTCCTGCTGGGCATCCCAGTGGGCAACGACACTCTGGTGTTCAATGCGCATCGCATGTCCTACAATCGCATGTCTTTTCATGCATTCCCGTTCTCTGGCATCCCCTCCCCTTTCAACTGTGCAGATCAGGGGGCTCCTGAAGCCAGGCGGGCTCTTTCTCCTGGGCGTCCCAGTGGGCAACGACACACTAGTGTTCAATGCGCATCGCGTGTACGGTCCCATCCGCATGCCGCTGCTGCTCAAAGGATGGGAGCTGCTGAACGTGTTCGGGGTGTCTAGTCTCGAAGCAGCTTATAAAGAGAACGGGGATGCGGGCACCATGCAGCCGGTCTTGGTGCTGAGGTAGAGTTGTTGGAACTCAGCGATGAATACCGGATGACTTTTGTGTCGACTCAAAAGTCAGCGCACCATGCAGCCAGTTTTGGTGATGAGGTAGAGTTGTTGGAATGCAGTGATGGATACCAGATGAGTTGAGTTTTGAGGCGCCTCCAAATTCAACTCACGGCACCATGCAGCCGGTCTTGGTGCTGAGGTAGAGTTGTTAGAATGCAGTGATGAATACCAGATGAATATTGAGGCGCCTCAGAATTCAACTCACAGCACCATGCAGCTGGTCCTGGTGCTGAGATAGAGTTGTTAGAACACAGAGATGGATACCAGATGAGTGCTCTCATGGTAGCTGGCAAATTCTGAAGGGGGTCTCTTCCTCAGTTTCTCGGACACTGGAGAATATAATTAGGCTGAGGCCCTTCGGGACCTTTACTTGCTCAGCGGATGAGTGTTGCATTGCATGCCTACGGTATGACAGTTTCTGCTTTGAAATCGGAGCAACAAAGGCTTCGATCATATACAGTTCCAGCATTTGTGAATGCCTTTATTGTCCCTCTTCACTTCCGTGAGCTCCTGATTTTGAGTCGACTCATTAAAAAAAGACTATTTTACACGTTCTTTATGTTGGTCTGAGGGCGTGTTCCTACAGCCCCTTATCAGGCGAACTTCTTGTCAGGTTCGCGTCGCACCGCACTGAAACACGCGTAATAACATTTGATTGCGTTGAAATGCATTAAACCGCACAAGTCTGACAAGAGCTTGTCTGATAAGAGGCTGTAGGAACACGTCCTGAGTTCCAGTACAACATCATACAGAGGCTCATGCTTGTTTATTGAGCTACCTCAGTCAGAAGTAAGTATTAGGCTCAAAGCAGACATGGGCGAGTCTACTGAATTACCGTATGGCCCCGGATATAGGCGCCGTCCGATTAAAGGCGCCGGCGCTTCTATCTGGAGCATGGCGCTTATGGCCGGAACTCGATTATAAGCGCCCCCCCCTGCAGGGCCCAAAATTGGTTTTAGGTCACCCTGCCTAATCACGGTCTCAGACTGTCCCACCCTGATGGCCTAGGGTAAAATTTATGGTACGCTGACAAATACAGGCTAAAAAAACAAGTGGTCTGACTGAATCAAATGATAATAATATATATATTGCTTTTTATTCCACTCGATACGTCAGTAAGTGACTTAGCCAGTTTTAGAAATGTCCGAACGGAATGATTGCAGGTTCGAACCTTGATGTCGGCGAATGTTCCGTTGATGGTCCATTGTGTATGTGTGTTTCTCCGAATCGGTAGCGCTGTTACCCATGTGTTACAGCTTTTAGTCAGGGAAACAAAACTACTACGCTGTTTTTGAAAGGGTAAAAAGAAAACCACTAATTTGAAGAAAGGGCAACTATACGGTTAGCCTGCCTTGATCAGGGTAGCTGAAAAAAAACGGCCTACAGAAAGGGCGAAAAGGGTATTTTACCCTGATATTTTGAGCCCTGCCCCCTGTAAAACCCTGTTTTACCGTATTATAAGCGCATGTATATTTTTTTTTTTCATACCTGATCAGTAGCGAATTTCGATTTTCAAGCGAGTCAGCACCCATTTTCGCTTTGTTTGACTTTCGAGGTCCTGACTGGTTGCGCGTCCAGTCAGGATGAGCTGGCACGCAAGCAAATTGACGTGCCAAAGCTCTGTGCAGTTCAGACAAGCGCCCACGCGCGATTATGTTTCAGGACTCTCTAAAATTCTGATTCGATTGAAATTTCGAGATTGAAATGTACAGTTTGGTGCGTTTAAGTTGTATTTCTGTATTTGCCACGATATAAGCGCCGGCGCTTATGGCCGTGATTCAATTACAAGCGCCACCCCTAAAAAAAACCGATTTTATTATAAGCGCAGATGCGCCTATATCCGGGGTAATACGGTATGATGCTTGCGCCTCTGCTGCAATACTATTGGTATGGAGCAGGAAGACAGAAAAATATACCGTACCATTTTTGTTTCCCTCCAAGAAAAATCCTACCATTTCTTCAACAATACCAGTATTCTCTTCCCAGGAGTGGTGCCACACCCAAGTGCCAAGCTGAAGTCAGTTATCAGACAATATCAAGGACACTGCTTTGTGCCACGTTGAATGATTTCTCACCCCGTACCAAGGCTAGTTGGAATCCTACATTTGAAAACATAAGAACCAAATGGGCTAACCTAGAGGACATGCTTACTTCTGCACTGTGCTTCCAAATGCACCGGCAAACCCACTTGAACCGCCGCCAGCAGCTGTGCCAAATCCCACAGGACCTCCCCCAAAACCACCACTGCCTGCCCCAAAACCACCACTACCTGCCCCAAAACCACCGCTACCTGCCCCAAGACCACCGCTACCTGCCCCAAAACCACCGCTACCTGCCCCAAATCCTCCTGCTGTAAAACCTCCTCCTGTAGTGGTCGTTCCAAACCCACCAAACCCTGTTCCTTGTCCCCCTCCCACACTTCCCGCGTCAGTTTTTCCTGCCCCTCCTCCAAATCCCGCACTTGCACCACCCCCACTTCTTGACCCAAGCCCTCCTGCACTTGACCCAAGCCCCACAGCGCCAGCAGCACCACCAGCCTTCCCCACACCATCAAATGCTCCTGTGCTTGTCCCATCACCACCTCGTACGCCAAAGGCATTGCCTGACCCACCAAAAGTATTGCCTGCCCCACCAAAGGCATTGCCTGCCCCACCAAAAGTATTGCCTGCCCCACCAAAACTGCTGCCTGCCCCACCAAACAACAGAGGGGCAGCAGAGGGGGAAGCAGAGGGGGCAGCAGCAGGTGGAGCAGCAGCAGGTGGAGGAGCAGCAGGTGGAGCAGCAGCAGGTGGAGCAGCATGGGGCGATCCAAACCCCGCTCCCAGCCTCCCAAACACACTCCCCCCTGCTGCTCCCGTGCCCACAGTCTCTGCAGCCGCTGATGCTGATGCTGCTGCTGCTGCTCCTCCTATGCCCCCTCCTGTCAACTTAGCTCCAAAAGCTGGTGCTGACCCAAAAGGTGATGACCCAACAGGTGCAGACCCGAAAGGTGCTGACCCGAATGTAGGTGTTGCCCCGAAGGCAGGAGTTGCTCCGAATGCTGCTGTTTGCACTCCGCCTCCTGCCCCTGCTGCCCCTGCTGCCCCTGCTGCCCCTGCTGCTCCTGCTGTCTCTGCTGCCCCTGTCCCTTTTCCTCCCCCTGCCCCTGACCCAAATGCCTTTGACCCCTTACCAGCCCTCCCCGCCCCTCCAGTTGCCACCTGCCTGAAATCCTCCGCGTCCAGGTCTACCTGCCCCAGATACGCCCTCACTGCCGCCTCCACCTCCTCCCTCATCGCACACACCACCTCATACTCACTCACACCCGCACTCGCACTCACACCTTCTCTACCACCCCCACCTCCTCTGCCACTCGCTCCCCTCCCCCTCTCTTGCTCCCCTCTCGTCTCGCCCACAGCAGCAGCGGCCGCCAGCTGTAGCCTCAGCCGGTCCAGCAGGGCGTGTGGCTGCCACGTGGCGCCCATCCGTTGCTTCGCCGTGCGCGGATCGGCCGATCGGACGGCTCTCCACGCGCGGAGCATCGCGAGGGCCAATCGGGACGCTTGGATGAGATGATTGAAGTCCAGGTAGACCCGAAGGAGTGATGACGGGTCTGGGGCGATGGGAGGCGCGAGAGATGGGTTGAAAGGAGTGGAGAGCGGTGCGAGGAAGGAGGGTGATGAGAGAGAGGAGGGGGCGGAGGCGAAGGGAAGGGGGGTTGAGGAGAGGGGAAGTGCGGAGATGGAGGAGGAACCTTCCAGGAAGAGACGGATGAGCCATGGAGGTAAGGGGAGAGCAGGGTCGGTTCCGAGTATGGCTCGGGCTACAACCTCACGGAGGTTCGGATGGTGCCGAACGTACGCATCAGTCCAAACCTGCATCTGCTGCCACATCAGCACCGGGGAGTTTGCCACGTCAGCAGCAGCAGCAGCACTGGCAGCGGCTGACGTGGCAGCAGATGCAGCAGGAGAAGAAATGCTGTTTGGATCCCGGGCAGCTGCAGGAGAAAGTCCGAGCTGGCCCATGCAGCAGCGGCGGGCAGCTGCTGAAAGAATTTCTGAAAGTTCAGCTGCCCGCTGGCTGCCCGAAAAGAAGAGTGTGGCAAGGTGGAGAGCCTGGGGGAAGAGGGCGTTGTGAGCGCAGGCTGATATGATGTCGTGGGGTGGGGCGTCTGATGCTGGTAGGGGGGAGGGTAGGCAGGGACAAAGGGAAGAGGGGCATATGATGCAAAAGCATGTGGGGGAAGAGGGCGTTGTGAGCGCAGGCTGATATGACGTGCTGCGGTGGGGCGTCTGATGCTGGTAGGGGGAAAGCAGACACGTGGGTGTGGTGTAGCGGGGGGTGGGGGAAGGGGGCGTGGGGAGGAGAGGGAAGAGGGAAGGAGTGGGCATATGATCCCAAGGGCATGTGGGAAGAGGGTGATGTGAACGCAGGCTGATATGATGTGCTGTGGGGGTACTCTTGGCGCTGGTAGGGGGGATGCAGACACGCGTGTATCGGATTAGCAGGACATGGAGGGGAAGGCGTGGAGGGGAAGAGTGTGTAGGAAGCATTGGATAAACATGCAGGTAGGGCATGCAGGGAGGGCATGCAGCACGGGTGGGAAGAGTGCGTGGTGAGAGCGGCCGATATTATATGCTGTGGTGGGTAACTGGGGGTGGTTGGGGAATTGCAGACACGAGTGTGTGTGAGAGAGTCCGAGGCTGGAGGGGAAGGGGAGGTGGGAGAAGGGGAGGAGAGGGAGGGAGGGAAAGACGGAGGGGGCATTGGATATGAAGGGCATGCGTGCGTGACGAGTGTGTCGTGAGCTGCGCGCTGTAAAAAGGTTGCGGGAAAGTGGAAAGGGCTGAGATGACGTCATCCAGTGCTGCGACCCACTGCTGGTGAACAGGTAGGGAGGGAGGGAAGGCAGGAAGGAAGGAGGATGGACGCCAAACGTCAAACGTTTGGCGATCTTTCTTATATTTCCAGGGCAGCCCATACTGCATCTCAGCACAGGTAGAAAAGAGAACGAAATCCATCAAGCGTATGAATGCCAAAGGGGGATCTCACGAGTTGCAGCACAGCTTGTCCAGCAGTCGGAACCAGCAGAGTCGTACGCGGCAGTTTGAAAATTGTCAAAAGCAACATGACGCGGCACACTGCTCCCACGAGTTGCGGCCAAGACCGGGTGAGATACCGGCAGGCATGGCATGGGCAAAAGAGGTGACTTTTGAGTCGACTCAAAAGTCACCTCGGCAGGCATGGCATGGGCAAAAGAGGTGTAACAAAATACTCCAAATGCGCATGCTGTCAAAACCACGTCATTACACTTTCCCTATGTGTACTCACATACCATATTAGTCAACGTTTGAGTTGACTAAAAAATCATTTTCGCATCCTCTCTAAAGCTCCTCACATATTTCCTTTCCATACCTGTACTCACAAACCATGATAGACTGAGAGCATATGAAGCACAATGCACTGTGCCCACAGTGCATGTGTACCTTTTACTCTGTTTAACCACTCTCGCCCAGCGCTGCTGGATGACACTGCTGGGCTGCTGGCAGCACTCAAGTTGACTTTGAGTCGACTCAAAAACCACAACCACAACAAGTGCAAGCGTGGCCTCCCGTTTTCACAATGCATTCGCGATCCTCTCTCACCCAGCAGCGCGGCAGTGGTCCCAGGACACGTGGCGAGCAGTGATTGGGCGGCCACCAGCGCATGCTCCCTGCGCAGATCCTCCAGCCCCACCGGCTCCGTGCCACGGCCCAATGACGCGCCGCCACCTGTCGCTCCTCCCCACCTCCCCCTTTTGGCCGGACTCGCCTCTCTCCAGAACCCCCCCTCCCCTCGCTTCCGCCCATTCTCCCCCATCCTCCCATCCTCCCTCAACCCGTCCCTCCCGCCACCACCACCACCAACACCACCACCATAACCATCAACATCACCATCAGCATCACGAGCCATGCCCCTGTGAGGGAAAACTGAGACCATTGGTGGGAGCCATGCCTCCTGCCTCTCCCTCTCTCCCTCCTCTTCCCATCCCCCCTCACCACCCACCCCGCCCCTTCTCTCCACACCCACACTCTCACCCACCCTTGCCACACCCTTCCCCTTTCCTCCTCCCCTCAACCCCTCTCCTCCCCCTCCCCGCCCCTCCCCCCCCACCACCATCAGCTCCAAAGCCTGGATAGCCACAGCCAGGCTCATCTCTCTCAACCGCACTGCACTCAGCTTCACCTCGGGGATTCTCTCCGCACCCAGCGTCATCCCTGGACTTCCCTTCACCACCGGACTGAACACCCTTCCAGGACTAGGCTGGTGGTAACCAGGACTCAGCCCCTGCTTCCTCCTTCTATCCGCACTCCCAGAAACAGCAGCAGGAGTGGGAGTGGGTGCAGTGCGGTTGCTGCCGGTACTGCTCAAGCCAAGCACTTCCCTGCCTAGTCGCCATGCGTATCGGTACATGGCCAGCGCTGCCTTCCTCCAATCAGATCGCTCCACGTGGAACGAGTACAGCAGCTTGTACGGGATCACCCTACCCAGCGCTGCTGACGTGGCAGCCGGCGCTGATGCTGACGTGGACAGCGGCAGAGTCAGCGCCACGTCAGAGTTCTCAGCGAGCCACATCAGCTCCTGCTCCACCTGTACATGCAGGTCAGCAGCAGCGTACGGCAGGTCGCGGCCACACAGGGTAGACAGCGCCCTCCCTGCCCTCTCTGCCTCAGCCGCCGCCGCTGCTTCCGCTGCAGCCGATACTGCTGATGGTCCTGATGGTGCTGACTGCGCTGCAATGGTTCCACCAGCGGCTGTAGCGGCTGTAGCAGCGGCTGTAGCAGAGGCGGCTGCAGCAGAGCTGGCGGTGTCACAGAGCACAGCGACGAACTGGCGCAGGCAGATGCTGCGGGTGAGCGGGTCGGGGTTGGAGGCGAGCGCACAGAACGCCTCGTCATACTGCCCGCCCTGCACCGCATACTCAAACACATTCGCCCATAGCCGCCCCTTCACCCCCCTCACCACCTCCCCTGCTGCCCCCGCTCCCACTCCCCCAACTCCCACTCCTGCTCCCACTCCTACTCCCACTCCCGCCCCCCCTGCTCCCGCTTCCTCTGCTGCCACTGCCGCTGCTTGCGAGTGCCGCTCCTCGTCTCGTTCGTCGAGGGAAGCTTCCGGAAAGGCGGCGTCGGTCTGGTGGATGGCGGCGAGGGCGAAGCGGGCGGCGGAGGGCCCCTCGCTGTAGCGCTGCAGCAGCCGCATCACCGCCTCGTAGTACCTCACCCGCTGCTGAGCCTCCGCTGCCTCTGCTGCTGCTGCTGCTGCTGCTGCTGTCGACTGTGACACGCTGGCAATGTCGCGTCCACTGTTGTTGCTGCTGCTGCTCCCGCTGTTGTTCGCGCTGCCACTAAACATCTCCAGAAGGCCTTGCAGTGGGTTCCCACCCTCTCCCATGCCATCGCGCCTCCCCCTCCCCTCCCTCACCGCTCCCTGCTCCTGCTGCCCACGCTCCCACTCCTTCCGCTGCCCGGAAGAAACATTTCACTGCCCGATCTACCAGTGCTGCCCGCATGGCTTCCCTCGCTGCTGACTCACGCCCTCCCCCTTCTCCCGCTAAAAGCACACTCTGTCCCTTGCTACTGCTGCCGGCACTTAGCAGGCTAATGCTGCTAAAGTTGCTGCCGGCGCTTAGTTGAAACCAGGCGGGGAGGTCAGCAGGGACATGCGCGCAGGCAACCAGGGCGAAGCCCAGAAGGAAGGAACGCGCAGCCGAGGCTTCAGGTTCGGCCGAACCAGAAGCGTTGGTTCGGGAAAGAGCCAAGGGGTTCTGAGAGAAGTGCGCGTCGCGATCGACACAGTCCAAGAGGAGCTGAGCGGACAGGCGGAAGGGGGAGGAGGAAAGGGGGAAGGGGGAATGGGAGAGGGGGAGGAGGGAAGGGGGAAGGGGGGAGGGGGAGCACAAAACGCGTCTCATACAACGTGTCGCGATCAACACAGTCCAAGAGGAGCTCAGCCGACGGGAAGAGGAGGAGAGGGAAGGCGGGATGGAATGGGGAAAGGATGGAAAACAAGCAGAAACAGAGGGCCTAAGAATGGAAGTAGACGGGCGCATGCAGTAGACACACACCACCATTGTGTAAATCCGGAACATCAATCCTCAACCCTCAATCGCATCATGCACCTCATAACCCTGTAGCTTGACACCCCGGATCACTTTTGAAAATTCTCAAAACTGTAGCTTGAAACCCCAGGTACCCTAAACCCAGCGAATGACCCTCCAGCATGCTCACACGATGTGGTAATGCCTGTGCTGCAGCAGCCTCAGCCCCATGTGGGTCGGTCGGTCTACACAAGGAGTAGCACGGCATACGTGCCATAAACTGAACCCCCTTGGCCACTCACCCGCAGGCGCAAGGCTTCGCTAATCACCTCGCACAGCAGCCCCTCCCCACTTACACTCGCACCCCACCTTCTGCACCAGCAACACCACACCCTTTGCACTCACCTTCACCACGTGGTATTGACTCTGCTCCAGCAACTTCAGCCCCATCTGCACGGCTCGATGAAAGAAACTCGGCGCTCCTGCTCCCACTCCCATCCCCACGCCTCCTGCTGCGCGCCCTTGAGAATGCCAGGGGTCGCGCCCCCACCGCAGGCGCACGGCTTCACTCATCACCTCGCACAGCAACCCCTCCCCACTCACACTCGCACACCGCCACCCCACCACTCCTCCCGCTCCTTTGCCTCCTCCCCTCCCTTCCAGTCCGCCCCCCTCCTCCGCGCCTTCCATCTCCTCATCACTACACTCCTCCCCTTCTCCTTCTTCTCCCTCGCTTTCAGCCCCGTCAGAATCCCTATCAGCTGACAAGGGGCTACCTTGTCCTGATTCACTCCCGTACAACCACCACCCCCTCCACCTGCCCCCCCAAACACTGCCTCCGCCCCTACCCCCTCCTGCGCCTCCTTCTTCTCCCCCTTCCTTCTCCTCCTCTCCCTCCCCGTCCAATAAAACAGCGACAACTGTCCGCCTAGCCCATCGAAACTGCTCCTCTCGCCTGCAGAACCTTCCAAGCAAGTCCCCTTCTGCCATTGCCCCTGCCCCTGTCCCCCATTCCCTCCTCCCACTGCCAAACCCTAAACTCCCTCCCGCTCCCCCTGCCTGCCGCACCCACCTCCCAGTGGACCCCCGCGTGGTCCCCACAGCCACGTCAGCATCGCCGTCCACGTCAGCTACGCCTTTCCCGCCAATATGCAGGGAGAGGAGATCCACTGAGAAATCATCTTCCGGGCTCCTAGCAGCAAAGGAGTCAGAGAGAGAGTGGAGGAGGAGAGTGGAGGAGAGGAGGGAGTGAGTGCGGGGCAGCAGGCGGCGCGAGAGAAAGGAACGGTCGGAGGGGGAGAGGAGGAATGGGGAGCGGGAGAGGTGGAGGAAGTGGAGGAGAGGGAGGAGGGAGAGGAGGAGGTGAAGGTGTGATCCTAGCAAGAGGGTGAGGCCGTGAGAGAGCTCTAAGGGGGAGAAGAGGGAGGGCGGGAGGAGGGTGCTGCTTGGTAGATCATCAATCTCCCCACTCCCATTCTGCCCTTCCGCTGCTGCTACTGCTGCTGCTGCTGCACCTTGGGACCCACAGCCAGATGCACCTTCTGGGAGTCTACCCAGATCCATACTCGTTACAAGCAGCTCCACTACCTCGAGTACACCCCCCCACTTCCCTCCTGCTGCATCTCTCAAATTCCCCAGGGCAGCTTGAAGCTTCACTGCAAACACCCTCTGCTCCGTGTTCTGCTGCGAAACAAACTCCCGGGCAGCCGACCGCAAACTGTTCACGCTGCCCGAGCTGCCCGGCGCCAGCTGCCCGAACTCCAGAAACTTTGCCACGTGTGCAAACGCATCAGCAGGCTGCAGGGAGGGCGAGAGGAGGCACGCGGGAAGGGCCAGCATGACAAGCCTGCCCACTCGCCCGCGAATCAGCTCCAGACAGCTGGCCAGCTCTCCCAACACCGCCGCCAGCTGTCGCTCCTCCATTGGCTGCCGGATTCCTTGACCGCCCACATTCAACCTGCCTGAACCGGATCCAGCCGAACCTAGTCTTGAGGAGGCCATGGAACGAACAACGGTGGGCGAAAGGAACGGCGGGCTGCCTTCCAAGCTGCCCCGCTCCCCACATGCTGCACCTGCACCTGCAGACCCTGCTGTAGCGGTTCCTGTTGGCATTCCTGTGGGCGTTCCTGCTGTAGACACTGGTGCTGCCAGCCCTGCTGCTGCACTCACTGCTGTGCGCGCTGCTGCAGGTACCGCACTGCACCACTCGTTCATCTGCATTGATACGTCAGGCGCTTGCACCAGAGACACTGTGCATCCCCGAACCACGCCAATAGCCCCGGCACCCGAACCTGCCCCCGAGCCTTGGCCTGAACCGGCTGTTGCAATCAGCCCTACAGGGGCGTTCACAGCCGTCCATGCTCGGAGGTACTGCTTAGCCAAGTGCTCCCACCGATCCACCAGCCGAACCAGATCGGCAGGCTCGCCCCCGGAGCTGCCCAGGAGGCTCGGCAGCACCTGCAGATCCGGCCGTCGGTCCAAGAGGTAGGAGAGGAGAGTCTGCCGAACCGCATCGTGGCTCATCCCAGCCACTTCTGCAGGGTTGGATGATCCGAACGTTCCACTTCTTTGTCCCTCGTATGGGAAAAACTGCTGTTCCTGTTGCTGGTGCTGGTGCTGGTGGTGGTGGTGGTAGTGGCGGCGGTGGTGCTGTAACCAAGCAAGCAGATGGGCTAGCGCGGGCTCAAGCAGAGCGGACGGGCAGAGCAGACGAGCAACGAGAGCATCGGCACAAAACTCAGTCACAGCGCTCCAATTCACTGCACCACCTGCCCCTCCTCCTCCTGCTCCTACTGCTGTTCCTGCTCTTGCTGTCAGTGAGCTGCCCTCTCCTTCCCCTGCTGGGGATGCGCTGGGAGGGGCGCAGAGGATGGGTGAGAGCTCGAGGAAGGGAACGAGGCCCAAGGCTGCCACCAAGCTCGCTCTGCTGCTGTCGCCCATATCAGCCAACGCACTGGCTGCCACGGCTGTAGCGGCTGTGGCAGGTGCAGAAGCGGCTGCTCCTGCTGGTCCACTGGCTGACGAGGCAGGTACAGGCGGGGGGGAGAAGAACTGGTGGAGAGACGAGTCTGAGAGGCCTAGTGATGCTGATAGCTGCTGCTCCGCCAGCTGGCAGGCGCTGATTGGTGCGTACAGCTGGGACGGAGGAAGGGGAGGACGTTGTTGTGCAGATGCCGCTGCTGCCGCTGCTGCTGTTGCATCTCGTGCAGCAGTGGCAGTGGCATTGCTGGCGAGCGGCACAGAGCGCACAGGCAGGCAGACCGTGTGGTGCTTCGCTGATGCAGCTGATGGGACTGTTCCTGCGCTTGTGCCTGTGCCTGTACCTTCACGAGCACGCCCCTCCTGCAGCAGCAGCCACACGTCCACCTCTTTCCCACCCCCCGGCCCTTCTCCGCCCCGTCTTCCCCTCCGCCCCGCACCACCACCACCGGCAGCGGACAGCACGCGAACGTCTCTAATCCACAGCCCCTCACCCCCGCCTTCCCCCTCATCCACCGCCCGTTTCCCCACCTGCTGCTCGCGCTCATCCTCCCCCTGCTCCCCAGCTGCTGGCCTCGCCCCGCCCGCCCCCATCCCCCTCTCGCCCCTTTCCCCTCTACTGTCACCGTCCCACGCGCCATAGTCACAGCTGCGCGCCGTGGGCGCGCAGGGCAGCGCGCTCCAGGCGGCCAGGCGGAGCGAGGCGGAGGCGGACGCGGAAGAGGAGGCGCGGGCGGGATCAGTGGGGACGCGGAGGCGGAGGGAGTGAATGGTGATGAGACCCGCAGGGAGGGAAGCCAGTTCCGCGTGCTGCTGCTGCTGCTGTTGGGGGCACCAGGTGGTGATGACTAGCAGAGAGTGGGTGGCGGCAGCTGCGCTGGTGGTGGTGGCGGAGGTGGCAGAGCGAGTGGCGCCAGGCGCAGAGCGCAGAAGGATCTGCTGCACGGCCCATGCGCCTGGAGGGGGGAGGGGAGAAGAAGGGGGAAGGGGGGAAGGGGGAGATGGGGAAAAGGGTGGGGGCGGGGGAGATAAGGGGGAGGGGGAGAGCGAAAGAGGGAATCGTGAAGGGATAAACGGGTTCAGAGTGGGGGAATGGAGGGTGAAAAGATGAGAACGAGAGTGGGAGGGAGAGACAGTCAGATACAAGCAAGCACTTGGCACAAGCAAGGGCGGTTCAAAGCTATAAACTCGCACGTAACTCACCGCCACAAATCCCCCCTGCCTGTCCCGCGCCCGCAGCAGCCGCTGCTCCGCCCGGTCCCCACTCCGCAGCCACCGTCACCGTCGCCACGCGGACCTTCCTCGAAACATCCCACACCCTTACCACGCCATCTGCGTGCGCAACCGCAGCCAACCCCTGCCCGCCACGTGCCAGCAGCTGAATGGACCGTACAAGCGCGATAGACGCGCCTCTGCTTGCGCCTACCATCCCCCACAGGCGCGCCATTGCCCCCTCGCCTTCCCGCAACTCCGCCACCCCTGCTCCGCCAGACGCTTCCCTCCTTATAGCGCCACCCGTTACAGGCACAACAGGGTTGGCGAGTTTGCGGAACGGAATTGCGAGAACAGTACCTGAACCTCCGCCGAGACAAACCGTGTCCAGACCGGCTGCTAGTGATGTCACACCGCTACCGAGCCTGGATACGAGGTTCGGCGGGAGCTGAAACGACCGCAAACAGCTGAGGGAGAAGTTACCGAGGAGGGAAGGTTCGGAGGGTTTTGTTCCCGTACCACCGCCAGGCCTGGTGTCGAACCTGGACGCACCGTTCAGGCGAAACCCTAAGCCGCTTGCGTCGTTCCATGCGCTACTGTTGCTGTCAAGCCCCCCAAACCCTAGGTCTACGGAGTAGATCACGCCATCCGAGGACAGCAGGTACAGCGACGCGCGAGAAAATCCCGATTCGAACCCCTCGCCATCCTCCTCATCGTCTTCATCCTCGTTATAAGCATCCTCGCTAAAATCCCCGTCGTCGGCGATCTCGGGGTTACGCTCGACGACAAAGGCTGCGAGAGGGAGAAGGGGCGCGGGGAACCGTAGGTGCACCTCGTGCGATCCCTGCCGTTGAGAGTACTGCCGAGCGACAGCAGCCGCGGATGTTCCTGTAACGAGCGGAGCGGGCTTGGATGCGGGGAAGGACGAATTTGGAAAGAGCTCTTTCAAAACAAGGACGGAGTGAGATTGGCGGATTTCGGTTCGGATCTGCCAGGTCAGCAAGCGCTGATTGGGTTGAACGGAGTCTGCTCCCCTAGTCTGAAGCACCGACCCCCCGCCAAGACACGTCAGCGCGTCGGGGTGCAATGCTAAGCGAGGGCTTTGGGCTGAGTTTGAAGTCGGAGTAGTTCGCGTCGCGGAAGGAACAGTAAATTCCCGCCATGCGTCCTGAATGCCGAAGATCCGAGTCTCCATGGCTGCAGGTGACCGTTACTTGCTGGTTGTGTTTAGGTCTGACCGGGACAGGGTTTAATTTCTGAATTTACCCACTTGTTGACGGTTACTTGGCGCCGAGATCCCGAAATTGCTGTTGACTGATCGCAACGCGATCGCTACGCGACATTAATTCTAGGCTGCCGATTGCGAACGGACGCGAACTTTGGACCACGCGGTGCGAATTTTAGGCAAATTGATCATCGGTTCGCTCGGCCAGGAAATCCAGGCAATCCGAATCTCACAACTAGTAGCTGGAAACCACCAATACACCAAAACATCGAGCTCAAATGTCTTCCTTCGAGTCTACCTTTTCGCAACTCCTTAAAACTAGAATCGAGTCGGCACCAACGCGTCGGACTAAGTCGCCGGCCCGAACTACGACTAGCAAGACCTTTACTGGTCAGGCCCGACTGAAGCACCTGGACCACAGGGCAGGGACTAGTTTCCAAGATCCGTTTATGGTAGGGGAGGGAAGGGAATCATCTTCCTCTTTACTGGTGACTGGACCCTCCCCATTCCCGCTCTTCCTCTTTGAACCTGGAAATTTGAACTTTTTGGATTTTTTGGCGAAAGTGTAACCCTCGCGACGCAACCAAGCGGATGGTACCGGGACCTGTACTCGATTGTAGAAAACAGCTGAAGGCTGGATCGTGGTTCAACTCCAAGCGAAGTACACTAGTTTGATTGTTTGATTGTCGAGGCTACAAGCCACTGATCCATTTCTTTGTCCAGCTCATTCAGGTGACAATCCGAACAGCCTATCATCAGGCGTCGGCTCGGCAAAACCAAGGGCCAGGAAACTCTCAGCCGCTCACTCCCACAAACACAACCCCTCAACCTCAACCCTCTTCCTCAGCCTCCCACCAAAACCTCAGCTGGGGATTAGCGCTTCGCAGCTAGACACTTGCCCCCACTATTGTGGTTCTAAACGTGCCCCAACTCTTTATCAACTCTAACACTTGCAGTTCGTCCCTCCCATCTCTGTTTCTCCTTTCTTCTTGCTGCCGATCAGCCCGCTATTCGAATCGTGGCCTTTGATCCGCCACCCACACTAACCGGCACGCGTCAGCGGGCGCGTCGCACGAGTCTTATCTTTCTTGCGGGCCGATATCGATTTCGTCGTTTTTTGTTGTATTTTTTTTCCGATTTCGGCCTAGGAATCGATCTTCGCAGATTGGTCCTCGAGGTTCGATCCTGATCCGATCGTCACCATGCCCCCACCTACACGCGCCAGCGGCGCAACAGCCGCCGCGGTCTCCGTTACAACGACACGCCTTTTAATCACCTACCACCCGCACGACCTGCCGCCCGGCGGCGATCCGCTCGTAGTGAGTAGCCCAGCGCCTCTTTATAAGTACACTCGATACGAGCCAGCGGGGCTCTCCTTCCACGAAGCTGCGAAACGTCTGGCAGGTTTCCACGCGCCAGGGGAGGAAGATGCGGAGGAAGAGGACGAGGGGAAGGGCGAGAAGGTGAAGGATTCAGTCGATTCGTCTGCGTGGGAAAGTTCGCGGAAGAAGAAGAAGGGGAAGGATGGGAAGGACGCGGAGAAGCAGGAGCAGGATCACTACGCGCTTCTGGGCATGGCGCACCTGCGACACCTCGCGACGGAGGACCAGCTCAAGAAGGCGTACCGGTGAGTGCGAGCTAAAAAAGGTTGCTTTGCGAAATACTATACGGTCTAAGGAACGAGCAGTAGGATGCGGAACGTCTCAGTACGCGCTGCTGGGCTCGGCGCGCCTGCGGGATCTCGCGATTGAGTAGCAATTCAATAAGGCGTACTGGTGAATGCGCGCACGGAAACGTGTGGATGAGAGCGCGGAGAGGTGAACAGGTGAGAGCAAGAGAGCGTGTGTGAGAGAAAATACATGTAAGATCGAGGGCGCGCGCAGAAATACGCGAAACAACTTAGTCCGCGTCGCTTGAGTTTGGGGTTCTGAGGGCCTCTAGCGAGAAAGGATCAGGCGGGGGAATCACAGGGTTGCTTGTGAGATCTCAGCAGGGCGAGATGCCGCAGCATCTGCATCTTTCTCCTGCAGCAACTGCAGTATAAAGGCTCCACAGAAAGCGCAGAAGCTAAGACTACGAGAGGTGGGAAGTGTGAGCTCTGAAGGGGCGGCTCGTTGCCCGTCGATGGGACAGCGAGGGGGTAGGGGGAGCGAGCCTCGAGGAGGAGTGTCCGTTTGGGGGAGCGTAGAGGTGAGAGCCGTGAAACACACGAGTTTGAGATTGCGTTTATGAATGTGGATAAGGGTCGATGAAATGCAGATGTAGGGTTACTGATAAAGATCGCAAGAATCCCAGTTTTTTTCCCCCTTCTTTTCCCTGTCCTCATCTTTGTCGAATCCTTAATTGTTCTACCTGGCTCTCCCTCCCCCCTCCCCCCCCCCTTTTTTCCTCCTTTCCCCCCGAAGACTCTGTGCTCCGGTTCGCCTCGTTTTAGATCAATCGCCGCACTCCCTAACATTCTCTGTTCCTCCTTCTTTCCTCTTTTACCCCGAACCCTGAAACCCCGCAACCCCGTAACCCTAAACCGCGCAAGCCCTTAACCCCAAATCTCGTAATCCCTTAACCTTCAGTGCTGCACGGTTGAGCTTCTGACCGATCCCCCGTCATTCCTTCTCACCACTTCTCACCGCACCGCACCCCACCCCGCCCCACCCATCGGCCATACAGAGATGCGGCTCTGCGCTTCCACCCGGACAAACAAGCCGCAATGCTGTTGGAGGAGCAAACGGACGAGGCGAGAGCAGTTTAAAAAGAAGGGATCGAGACCAAGTTCAAGGCCATCTAACTGGCCTATGAGGTCGCCTCGTTTCAATCCCTTGTCATTCCTTCTCACCGCTTCTCACCCCATCCCACCCCCCCCACATCCCACCCCACCGCACCCAACCGCACCAAACCAGGGACGCCGCTCTGCGCTTCCACCCGGACAAACAAGCCGCAATGCTGCTGGAGGAGCAAACCGACGAGGCGAGAGCAGCCAAAAAGGAAGAGATCGAGACTAAGTTCAAGGCCATTCAGCTGGCCTACGAGGTCCTCTCAGACCCTGCCAAGCGCCGAGTGTATGACTCCACAGACGAATTTGACGATGACATTCCGGGTGATTGCTCTCCGGAGAATTTCTTTAAGGTTTTCGGGCCCGCTTTCCAGAGGAATGCCAAGTGGTCGGTGATCAGTCCGACGGAGGTTCCGGGTTTAGGGGACGAGAACACGCCGATTGCGGAGGTGGATAGGTTTTATGATTTCTGGTGGGCGTTTAAGAGCTGGAGAGAGTTTCCTAACGAGGATGATTATGACGTGGAGAGTGCTGAGAATCGGGAGCATAGGAGGTGGATGGAAAGGCAGAATGCGAAGCTTAGGGAGAAGGCGAAGAAGGAAGAAAGCGCGAGGATTAGACAGTTAGCGGAGAATGCTTATAAGCAGGATCCGAGGATTCTGAGGAGGAAGGAGGAGGAGAGAATGGCTAAGCAGCGGAAGAAGGAGGAGAAGCAGCGGGAGAGGCAAGCGAAGGAAGATGAGGGGAAGAGGAAGGTGGAGGAGGAGAGGAGGAGAAAGGAGGAGGAGGAGAAACGGGCGGCGGAAGAGGCGGCAGTGGTGAAGAAGCAGAGGGAGAAGGACAAGAAGGCTGCGAGGAAAGAGCGGGCCAGGCTGCGAGCAGCGACAACGGATTGCCTTGAATCCGCGCCTGCGGTAACCAGCAAGCAAAAAAAACAGCAGCAGCAAGAGCAGAAGGGAGAGGAGTGGGAGACGCCGATTACAGAAGAGGAACTGGAGAGTCTAGGGCAGGGGTTGGAATTAGAGAAGCTGCGAGCTCTCTGTGACAAGCTAGAGTCCCTATCAGCTACTGCTGGTTCTGCTGCTGCTGACGCTGCAGCAGTGAAGCGGCAAACCCTCCGACTGTTCTCCACCGCTCTGAAAGTCAACCGGTGGGACGGGCACAGCCCAGCGTTCGAGTACCAGCAGATCCCCGTGGTTCTCTCGGAAGCTGCTGCAGCGGCGGCGGCGGCGGCAGCAGCGGAGCGAGAGGCAGAGGCGGAGAGGGAGAGAGAGGCGCGGCGGGCGGCAGGGGGGAGTGGGAAGCCGTGGACTCGAGAGGAGATAGAGCTGCTGCGAAAGGCCGTGACAAAGTTTCCTAAAGGGACCGGGCAGCGGTGGGAGGTGATAGGGGCATATCTGGGTACGGGGCGGTCGGCAGAGGAGGTGGTGCGGGCGACTAAGACAGTGCTGCTGCAGAAACCAGACGACAGCAAGGCGTTTGACAGCTTCCTGCAGGTGGGTGGGTTTTAAGGGTTGAAGGTTGCGGGTCTGGGTTGGGGTTTGCGGTTTTGTGGGTTGAACTACAAGTGGGGCAGAGAGGAGGCGGTGCGGGCCACCAAGTCGGTGCTGCTGCAGAAGCCAGACGACAGCAAGGCGTTTGACAGCTTCCTGCAGGTGGGTGGGGCGTTCGGGTTTAAGGCTCAGGTTTTTGGTTCAGGTTTTGGGTTCAGGTTTTGGGTTCAGGTTTTGGGTTTAATGGATAGGGCAGGGAGGAGGTGGTGCGGGCGACGAAGACGGTTCTGCTGCAGAAGCCGGATGACAGCAAGGCGTTTGACAGCTTCCTGCAGGTGGGTGGGGTTTAAAGGGCTGTGACTTTGAGATTGTGATGATTCGGGATTCATTGGTTTCAGTTTGGGTGGCCGCTGTATGGGTGGGGGCAGAGAGGAGGTGGTGCGGGTGGCGAAGACGGTGCTGCTGCAGAAGAAAGATTACAGGAAGGCGTTCGACAGGTTGGTTGGTGGGGGAAGCTAAGGGTTCACGGATTGAGGTTCAGGGACTGGGTTGGGTTGGGACCAACCAACAGTCACTCCACTCCACCCCACTCCACTCCACTCCACTGCATTCCACCTTCTTGATACGTCTCCATAATCACCCCACTCCACTCCACCCACCCCCAACCCCCGCCTCCCCAAGCAGCGTCGCAAGTACCCCAAGGATATCGCCTCGCCTCTCTCCACACGTGAAGACCTTGATGCTGCTGCTGCCGCTTCTACTGCTGGCGCTCCCGCTGCTGCCGCTGGTGCTGCTGCTCCTGCAGTTCCCGCCTCGTCAAATTCACCTGCCAAAGCAGCAGGAGCAGCAGGAGCAACACCAGCAGCAGCAGGATCAGCAAAGACAGGAGCGAAACAAGCAGGGGCAACAGCAGCAGCAGCACCGGTAGCAGCAGCAGCGGCGCCAGTGGCGAATGGAGTGGGGGCGGCAGGCAAAGGAGCGAGTTCCGGGGCAAAGGGCGCACAGGAAGGGGAGTCTGCACGTGCTGCAAATGGCGTGGCTGCCGGGGCAGGTTCAGCCGGGGCAGGTTCTGCTGGTGCAGGTGCATCTGCTGGGGCAGAAGGGGCAGTGGATGTGTGGGGCGAGGCACAAGAGGTGGCGCTGGTGAAGGCACTTAAAGCCTTCCCCAAGGACACTGATAAGAGGTGAGAGCTGGCTTGCCTCCTGAGAGAGTTGCCTTGCAATGCACATCCTGTCACTCCATCCGTTCCGGCTTACGGTATCCCTGCCATCGCCCTCCCACCATCATCCACGCCTTTTCCATGCGCGGAATTGCATCCCAACAGCATCAACGAATGAGCTCACTCTCATGTTGGCATACCCATTGTATTGTAAAGGCTGGATGCCTACATGTGAGCTCCACATGTGGCACAAGTGAGCCAGGCTGCAGCTCTGATGGACATCTTTTCGCTTCACCTTATCTGCCCCTCATGCCCCTCATGCCCCTAATGCCCCACATTTGCTCTAATCCTGGCAGGTGGGACCGCATAGCAGCAGCCGTGCCCGGCAAGAGCAAGGCGCAGTGCTTCAAGAAGTTCAGCGAGCTCCGGCAAAACTTCCGGACCAAGAAGAGTGGCGCGGCGGAGTAGTGGTTCGGGAAGGGAGGTTGGTTGGTTGCTAGGCTGGGTGGGTGGGTTGATGTGAGCGGAGCGGTGCCAGAACAGGAGCAGTGGCAGCAGCTGTGGTTCAGGGCCCAAATTTGGTTTTAGTGCTCTCTTACTAATCAGGGTGCCTTGCTGACGTCACCCTGTCTGTCAGGATGGAAAAAAAATTAGCCTGTCAAAATCAGGGTAATATGAGCACAGTGAAATAACACCCTTCTTGTGTAAGGGTAAATCTTCCTTTCTGTTTTTTCACAAACCTTATACGGTATTCGACTAGTTGGCTTGCAGCGAGAACTTGCTTTAGACAACGTGGGTGATAGAAGTGTCGGAGTGTAGCTGGCAGGGAGGGAGTGAAATGGGGGAATAGGGGGTGGGAGATGTGAAGGACGCGGGGGGAGTGAGGCTGGAAGCGAAGGGGACCCGGACTTCGAGCGTCGGGGGAAGGGGGTTGGATGAGGGAGAGGCGAGGGAAGTGTGGGAAGTAGGGATGGGAGGCGCGACTAAATTGAGAGATTTTTGCGGCTTGTCATTTCTTGATTCAGTTCGTTTTGTTTTGCACCCTGTCTGGCAAGGCTAAAAGTCAAGGCACCCTTGCAAAATCAGCATAATCTCTAAGTCTACACTTTTGCGGAAAGGGTAACAGACAAAACAGGCTGCCAAAATCAGGGTAATCCTAAAAAACTGGCCGCTGGTAAGTGTAATCAGTGTGTTTTACCCTTGAAAAATAGGCCCTGCTGTGGTTGCTAGAGCTGGTTATGACCAGCTTGGAAGGCAGGCAGGGCGTGACTTTAGCAGCAGTTGGCACGGTGGGTTGGGTTGATGTGAGCTGCGCCAAAAGGGAAGCAGTGGCAGCAGCAGCTGTGGTTGCTAGAGCTGGTTATGACCAGCTTGGAAGGCAGTGTGTGACTTCAGCAGCAGCTGGCCGTTGGATGCATTGTCGTGGTAGGAAGTTGAGAGTAGTGCTACGGTAGGTCGACGAATGACAGGCTATTTTTATTGTGTGGTACGTTTCTACACCTGTACGGTACATGGTTACCATGTTGCACACTATTTTGCAAAGCAAAGAGCCCTTGATCCTCCCAGTGATAACCAGCCAGGTATCTCACTCCTGGTGTCATTTAGTACAGTATGATGTTTTCTATGGCTGGACTTTCCAAAAACGCGTTCTTGGAAGCACTACGTGTTCTTGAAAATATGTGCAGCGCAAGTCCCACTTGTTCAATGATGATATGGTACCTGGTGTAAGCAAGCAGGGGCTTAAACTTCTTTTGTTTACTAGTTTGTCAATTACCTGGCTTTGTGTACCAGACCTTCCTAGACCAAGAGTGCTAAATCTTTTATCAAAACATAGATACCATACAAGCTCTCAACTGAAAAACCTTGCCAAATCCTAGAGGAAATCTATGCTACGATCAGAAGTTGATCGTAGCCCAGGATCTACCCGGGAAGGTTCGCACGCAGTGAGATGGTTTGGTAGGCCCTTGACCTCAATAGCAGAGTGAATGTAAAATGCTTTGAGATGAATAAAACATGCAAACAAGGTGATATAAATAAGAGTACAATGGAATACGAAAAGACCTAACTAGTCATGTACTCTAAGGGGTACATTCCCTTATTCAAATGCATTCCCAACCGTGCGGCGCGTACAGTTTCGTAACTGTTCCCGCCAAAACCACCTTGCCTGCCGCTGCCCGATGCCGTCCGACGGTCCAGATGCGTCCCAACTGTCTGACGCTTCGAGTCAATTCCAACCGTCTGACGCTTCGCGTTCATTCTCGTTACTGCGTGCTTCTCTTTGCTGCGGTGAGGAGTGCACAGTAATATCAAATGTTACTATTCGTAACACCCCCCTTCACTCCTGGCCGTAGCTTGACTTGACCTGCTTGACCACGCCGCTGAGTTCGGAGCAGTGTTGATACTGCTGGCGTGGCAGTCGCTTCGTGAGGAAGTCTGCTGCCATGTCACCGGTCGGGCAGTAGGTCAAGTTGACCTTGCCCTTGTCCACCTCATCCTTCACAAAGAAATACCGCAGCGCAATGTGCTTGGTGCGGTTGACGAAACCAGGTTTGTTCGCGATACGGATCGCGCTCTGGTTGTCGCAGTGAAGGCGGAAGGTCGGCGAAGTCGGAATTTTCGCTTCTTGCAGGAGTTCCTGTAGGTAGAGGCCTTCGCGAACTGCTGCGGTTGCTGCGATGAATTCCGCTTCGGCTGATGACAGGGCAACCAACTCCTGCTTCTGCGAATTCCAGGAGATTGGTCCCGATGGCTCGAGTCGGAACAGGAAGCCGGTCCTGGACCGTCGATTATCAGGGTCTGCTGCGTGATCGGCGTCCACGTAGCCTACGAGGTTGAAGGATGGAGTTGGTGCAGTTGAGTAGCACAGCCCAATCTTGGGCGTTGAGACGAAGAATTGAAGAGCGCGCTGCAGGTCCAGATGATTCTCAGCCGTTGGTTTGCGTGAGTACTGCGCAAGCTGACTTGCGATGTACGAGAGATCTGGCCTGCAGGTGACAGAGGCGAAGAGGAGGCATCCCAACTGCTGCTGGTAAGTCTGGATCCCAGCAGGGGATAGGGCTTTGTTGTCAGGTTTGTGGTTCGGTCCAGGGGTTCGGTAGGGAGTTGAAAGGGGTGCCGGTGAAATGTTGAACCGCTTCCCTAACTCCTCTGCGTACTTAGCCGCTGAGAGGTGAATGGCCTCAGGTGCGTAGGAGATGTTGAGGCCTAGGAACTGCTTCACCTCGTAGTTGCACGTGATGTCGACGCGCCCCGCCAAGGCCTTCTCGAACTGCTCGAGAAGCTCGTTGTTTGAGCCTGTGTATAGCAAGTCGTCGACTTATACCGTGAGGAGAATGTATTCGCCGCGGAAGTCGCGGCGGTACATCCCTGGGTCGTGCGGCATCTGCTTGAACCCGATTTCAAGCAGGATGTTGTGCAGGTACTGCTGCCACAGCCTCGTTGCCTGCTTGATGCCGTAGAGTGACTTCCGCAGCTGACACACGCGCGTGTCTCCTTCGCCGTAGGTGTGTGGCTGCTCCACGTAGATCACGGCATCTACTAACGCGTACAGGAACGCGTTCTTCACGTCGATTTGACGGAGTGGCAGGTGCCTTGCAGCTGCGATGGCGAGCAGGATGCGGACGGAGGTGTGGCGGCTGACTGGGGCAAATGTCTGGTCGAAGTCGATCCCATGCCTCTGGTCATAGCCGCGAACCACCCAGCGCGCCTTGAAGCGCTCGATCGTTCCATCCGCCGCGGTCTTCACGCGGAAGACCCACTTCCCCGAGAGGATCCTTGCGCCCTTGATTGCTGCGCGGTCGACGAGCACCCAGGTGTCGCGTGACTCTAGTGCCTTGATTTCCGCGTCCATCGCCTCGCGCCACTCCTTGCTGTGTGGTCCAGAAAGAGCTTCCCGCGGGTTTCGGGGCTCGATGATGCGCGGCGCTTTCGAGGTTGCAGCGTGGAGTCCGAGCAGCTGCAGCCCCGAGACGGTGCTGTCGTGGCGACGTTGCGGGATGACTTCCTGCACGTCATCGTCGTCGCTTTCAGGTTCAGGTGGTGCTGCGCCTCCGCCGCTTCCTCTCGTTCCGCTTCCGCCTGCTCCGCCAATTCCTCCTCCCGAGGAATCGTCGTCGTCGTCGTCGTCGCTGCTGCGCCGATCCTCCCACGCGAATTCCCCCCTTGTGTCCTGCTCCAAGATTGCTGCAGCGGCTTCGTCTTCAGGCGTTGCGTAGCTGTGGCCATTGTTGGCGTAGACGCGATTCGCGTTCGTTTCCTCGTCGCGGCGGAACTGGTCGAGGAAGAGACGCTCGTAGAAGATTACGTCGCGAGCATGGGCGGTCTTCTGGCTGAGGAGATCCAGAATGATCCACGCCTTGTATTCGTGACTGATGCCGAGGTGAATTCCCCAGCGCGCGCGGCTGGCAAATTTGCCGATGGTTGATGTCGGCGGGCGGTATTGGACCATGCATCCCCATACGCGGAGCATGGAGGTATCTCCCTTGGTTCCTGTCCACTTGACGTGCGGGGACAGATTGCCGGTAATCGCGGTGGTTGAAAGGAGGTTGTGCACCCGTACGGCGTGGTGCATCGCGTAGGTCCAGTAGATCGGCGGCAGCTTTGACTGCTTCATCAGCGCGCGCACCTTCGTCATCAGCGTGCGGTTCGTCCGCTCAGCTACGCCCTGCTGCTGGTGCGCGTAGGGAAGGGAGATGTGGTGCTCGACCCCCTTTTGCGCCAGGAATGTCTGCATCTGGTTGCTCCTGAATTCTGCTGCGCCGTCGGACTGCCAAATCTTGAGCTTCTTCCCAGATTGCCGCTCCGCGTGCGGCAGCCAGAGGCGAAATACCTCGTAGGCTCTGTCGCGCGACTCCACATTCACGACCCACACGTAGCGTGTTCCAGCGTCGATGAAGGTAAGAGTGTATAGCTCGTCCTCGACTCCGCAATGCCCCACGTTCAGGAAATCGCTGTACACCTTGTGCAGCTTGGGGTAGCGGTTGGTCCCAGGTTCGAGTAGCGGGAACGGTTGGTGGCTCAACGCAGCTTGGGGCAGACGGTGCAGTTGCGCGGATGTGTCGCGCCGCTCACTTCGGAGCCATCAGGGCGCAGGAGTGCGCCAGGAGCGAAGACGCCAGCGTCGATGCAGTTTTTCAGCGTCGCGCGGGAAGGATGTCCGAGGCGCTGGTGCCAGAGTGCATCGTCAGCGCGAAAGCCGGAGGTGCGCATATAGCGCGCGCGCGCTTCCTCAGGGTCTTCGTCAGGTGCGGGAGCAGGTTCCGCTGCTACTTCCTCTGCTTCTTCTTCTTCTGCCGCGGTAGTCAGCATCAGTGCCAAGAACTCTCTGTCGCGAATTTCAGAGAGCGGGATGTTAGTCCCAGGGATGGTTCCAGGGACGAGAGTAGGCTCGCGTGGCTCAGGGGCAGGTCCGTAGACGGTGCGACGCGGGGTTGACGGCTCGTTGCCCCAGATGATGGTGTCCCACGGGTCGCGATGCGGGGGAATGTCTGCAGGAGGTGGTGCGAGCGGGATGTGGCGCGGGGGACGACCGAGAGGAACGACTGCAGGTGCTGCTTCGGTTTCCTCAGCTTCGTCCTCTTCCCCCCTTCGTTCTTCGCGGGAAGTGCCCCAGCCGCTGTCTGCGGCGGTAGGTACGGCGCCCCATCCGCCGCTCGCGTTGGCCCAGGTTCCGCCGGTGTCGCCCCATCCGCCAGTATCACTGGTTCCCCATCCTCCAGCGCTTCCCCACCCCCCTTCATTGGAGGCACTTTCTTCCTCCTCGGCTCCCCAGGCGGCGCAAGCGAAGGTCCCGCGTGCTTCCGCGAGGCTTTGCTGGCGAAGCTCCTCGGCTTCGCGGCGCGCCAGTTCTTCCTCTTGCTCCACGGTGAGTTTCGCCGAGGGGTCGAGCCGATGAGGGTACATCTTTTGGAATTCCTCGAGAGTGTAGGGGCACGGAACTCCTCGTGAGTCCAAGCTTCCGCGGCGTTGTCCGCGCAGGATGTTGTCGAGCCGCTGGGAGGGAGGTCCAGCGTGGGGGCTTTGGTCGGTGCCGAACACGCGGCGAGTAGTCTCCTCGACCTCGAGCTGCGACATCCCTTCTTCTGGTGGCGCGTGGCGCTCTGCTTCAGCGATGGCGGCGAGTCCGCGGCCCGCAATCGCGCTTGTTGAGGTCGTCGGCGTGTGGCAATCCCTGCATATGCCGTCGGGGTCGGGGTTGTGTAACGCCGTTTCGCGTGGGTGAGGATGATGCGGCACCCACGGCCTGCCGTCAGGGTGCTTCCAGTCCCTGCGGTGGATGTGCTCGAAGCGTAGTGGCACGAGGTCAATCAGCTCGTGCGAGTCGCCGCTGCAGTCGGGGATGTCGAAATCCAGGACGTACACTCCATTTTCGGAGTGTGCTCGTCCGATCTGCCTGCGGAGGAAGTTGCGCGCTTCGTAGTGCAGCAGGATATCTCGCGTTTCGCGGTCCGTGCTGAGGTCGACGCCGCAATCCATGAGCTGTGCGGCGGACAGAAGGTTGAAGCGCAGGTTCTGGACGATCAGCACATCGTTGAGCGTGATGTGCGTGCGGCTCCCGCGTGCCTTGAGCACGACGATGCCTTGCGCGCTTGCGCGCAGGCGCGTGTTGTTCGCCACAGTGACGTAAGTGACGGCAGGGGTGGCGACGGCGTTGGATATGTAACGCTCGGAGCCCACCATATGCTGGCCGCAGCAGCTGTCCAGGTACCAGGTGTTGTAGCGCTTGTTGTCGTCACGTGCGAGCAGCGCCAATCGCGGCGTGACGATGTGCGGAGTGTCGAACTTCAAAAATTGTTCGCGCGTGAGCCAATCGAGTGGCGCCACCCGCATATCAGGTACGTGCGGGGGACTTTCAAGCAGCGGGACTGGAAGATTCCAGTCCTGGTCGTCGTCGTCGGTGAAGTCGCGGCGCGGACTAAACGGGTTGTTGTTGGTGAACGCGCCAATTGGGTGCGGTGCCGGCTCAGGTGACGGTGAGCGAACGCGGCGACGACGCGACTCGCCTGTCATGGCCATGCTGCTCATGACGTTGCGAACTGGGGCAGTCGAGGACGGCTGCTGCTGCTGATGCTGAACCGCTGGGTTCAGGTTGCGCGCGAGAGGGGGCTGATACCCTTGGGCTGGACGCACGTCGCCTCGTGCGTCTTGACGGCCGGACCAGGTGCTCGGATTGGTCTGGCGAGGGCGAGATCGGTTCTTGCATCGATCCGCCAGATGCCCGAAATTTCTGCAGATCTTGCAGTAGAGGCGCCGTGGCTTTCGCTCTTCGGTGTTGTCGGCGTAGAAGGCGAGCCGTTCGCGTTCTCGTCGCGGCGCTGGTCGCTGCTGGTCCATATCCCTTTGTTCGACGAGAAGGGCGGCGCAAAGGGCGGCCTCCGAGATGACCCCCTGCTGTCGGAGAAGCGCCTTGCAGGGCCGCCACTCTGGGCCGAGCCCTTGAAGCACGATGTTGACGAAGATTTCTTCTGAAATCGTGCTTCCCAACTTCACGATTTGATCGCGAAGGCTCTGATAGCGGTTAAGGTAGTTGTTGACCTTCTCCCCTGCGGTCATCTTAGTTTCCAGGAGTTCCTGGAGTAGTCGGCTCGAAGAGACAGAGTCCTTGGGCTGGTAGACTCCTGTCAGGTGCCGCCAGGCGTTAAGGGCTGGAGCAGCTGTGGTTTTGTATGAACGAATGTTGAGCTGCTCCGCCGCCGACATATTCCGCAGGAGCACCCCGTACGCCATCAGCGACTCGTTGTAATACCGCGCCTTGGCGTCGTCGGTGTCCTCAGCAGGCTCCGCGTAGCTCCCGTCGAAATAGTGGAAGATCTGGGCGTTCTGAAGCAGGAGCTCCAGCTCGAAGCTCCAGGTGTAAAAGTCTCTGCCGTCAAAACAGGTACTTGTCTTTATTTTTGATATGCTGAGAAACCTTGATTGAGCGGAGAGAATTGCCTCTTCACTGGGACGGGGAGCCTTGGGGGTTGAGCCATTGGTGTCGAGGGAGAAAGTTTGCGGGGTGGCGTTCTGGCCAGTCGGGGCCGGTTGAGAGGGTTGCGAGGATGTTCCCGCATCGCCATTCTGCAATGTTTGGAGCCCTTGCTCCAAGCTGGTGAGTCGCTGAAGAAGTTGTGCGAGAACTTCGGAGTTGATTGTCGTCGTGTTCTCGCTTGTCGCAGCCGGGTTGGGTTGCGCTTCAGCCGTCAGATTAGTCTGACCACCAGATCCTCCGGCCATCTTCACTCGTGAGCGTGTGCCGGACGCCACTTTCCGAATGTCGCAATTTTCGGGAGTGGCAGTGCGAAGGATTCCCGAGCCGCTCTGATACCATGCTGCGATCAGAAGTTGATCGTAGCCCAGGATCTACCCGGGAAGGTTCGCACGCAGTGAGATGGTTTGGTGGGCCCTTGACCTCAATAGCAGAGTGAATGTAAAATGCTTTGAGATGAATAAAACATGCAAACAAGGTGATATAAATAAGAGTACAATGGAATACGAAAAGACCTAACTAGTCATGTACTCTAAGGGGTACATTCCCTTATTCAAATGCATTCCCAACCGTGCGGCGCGTACAGTTTCGTAACTGTTCCCGCCAAAACCACCTTGCCTGCCGCTGCCCGATGCCGTCTGCTCCGACGGTCCAGATGCGTCCCAACTGTCTGACGCTTCGAGTCAATTCCAACCGTCTGACGCTTCGCGTTCATTCTCGTTACTGCGTGCTTCTCTTTGCTGCGGTGAGGAGTGCACAGTAATATCAAATGTTACTATTCGTAACAATCTAAGAGTCAAAATTGGCAGCTCTGGTGGGCTCACCAGAAGCTGGAGACAAAATCGCAGCAGCCTGGAAATGCGTCAGGCTTTTTGGTTCATCGTCACAATTGCGTCATGTGTGTGTGTGTGTGTGTGCACCCCATGACTGGTTGGTTCACCACATTGACTGCAACCCACTGCCATTTGAGGCGCCTCAAAAGTCACGCACCCACGTGACTGCACCCCACTGCCTCCCGTCCACTGGAAGCCCAAACTGAACAGCTAGAGGTCAGCAAGAGCATCTGGCAGGAATGAGTCGTTGCTGGCGATGGGAAACCTCAACAGCACCCATTCACAGCTACAAGCGTGTAGCTAAACGCGCACACCCTGCAGCTCCTGGAGGCGACTTTTGAGTCGACTCGAAAGTCACTCCTTTCACTGCTACAAGCGTGCTGCTAAACATGCACACCCTGCATCCCCAGGAGGAAGGCCAGCCAGCCAGCCCCCTGCCTGCTGCTGGCGGATGGGGCATGCATGCCTGCTTGCCTTGGGCCTCGCCGCACCGCCCCCCTGCTTGCGCGCACTGGTGCAGGGCAGCATAACGCCTCGTGGGAACGAGGCGGCCTTGGAAGAGAACAGCATGCCCCATGTCGCCCGCGGCATGGGCAGCCTGTGATTGCTGCTTCTGGTGGTGCTGCTGCTGGTAGGGGTGATGGTGGTGATGGTGGTAGGGGTGGTGGTGGTGCGAAGCATGGGTGGAAGCACCTGTGACGCCTGGAGCGGAAGATGTCTCCAAACATCCAGCTGCAGCAGTGGTGGCTGCAGGGGGAAGAGCGCCAGCAGCAAAGGGGCTGACAGCAGGGGCTGGCTTCACAGCGATGACAGAATCAGCTGTGCTAGTGGTAGATGTGACAGTAGAGAGGGCTGGAGCATGAAAATCCTCGCCACCAGCTGTAGCTATAGCCTTATCCCCCTGCACGACTCCCCCTTTCCCCATCCCCTTGCCTTCCATCCCCTTGCCTTCCATCCCCTTGCTCTCCATTCCTTGGCCCACATTCCCCTTGCCCACCACTCCCTTGCACTCTGCCCTCTCACCCGCCATTTCATTCATCACCATCCCCTCTGCCTCACACACGACTCTCTGGCTGACCGCAGCCATCCACTTGCATGCTGCTGCCCCCCTTCGGGTACGCCTGCTCTCCTGCTGCTCTCCTGCTGCGCTCCTGCTGCTCTCCTGCTGCTCTCCTGCTGCTCTCCTGCTGCTCTCCTGCTGCTCTCCTGCTGCTCTCCTGCTGCTCTCCTGCTGCTCTCCTGCTGCATCACCCCCTTTCCTACCCTCCCCCATGCTCAGGGCGAGCATGTCAGCCCACTCCCCAGTACTGAAGGCATCGAATGGAGACAACCACCTGCATTCCCTGCTGCTGCTGCCTGGAGGTGTGTGCGTGCTGGGAATGCAGGTGAGCCTGCTGGCCTGCAGCCCTTCACGCGGCATCACTGCCCCCCTGCTGGCACCCACTGGTGGCGGCAGCAAAGCTCACCGCCCCCCTGCTTGGGCGCACTGGTGCAGGGCAGCAAAACGCCTTGAGGGAACTAGGCGCCCTTGGAAGTGAACTGCATCCCCCATGGCGTCAGTGGCATGGGGAAACTGTGATTGTTGCTGCTGCTGCTGGTGCTGCTGGTGGTGCTGGTGGTGGTGGTGGTGGTGATGGCAGCGGTGCGGAGCGTGGGTGACAGCATCTGTGATGCCTGAAGCGGGAGACGCGTAAAAGCTTTCTGTTAGAGCAGTAATGGCTGCCGCGGGAAGAGCACCAGCAGCAACGGGGCTAACAGCAGGGGCTGGCTTCCCAGCAACGGCAGGATCAGCTGTGCTAGTGGCAAATGTGACAGCCGAGATTGTTGGAGCATGAAAATCCTCGCCACCATGTAAACCACCACCAGCTGTAGCTGTATCCTTATCCCCCTGCACGACTCCCCCATTCTCCATACCCTTGCCTTCCATCCCCTTGCTCGCCATCCCTTCGCCCACATTCCCCTTGCCCACAACTCCCTCGCTCTCTTCCCCCTCACCCTCCATCCACTTCTCCGTCCCCTTCGCCTCACACACGACTCTCTGGCTGACCGCAGCCATCCACTTGGCGTGCAGATACTCCCCCTTGCGCCCAGCTCCCTTGCTCTCTTCTCCCTCACCCTCCATCCCCTTCCTCATCTCATTCACCATCCCCTCCTCCCTCTCCTTCGCTTGACACACAATCCTCTGGCTAACGGCAGCCATCCACTTGGCGAGCAGATACTCGCCCTTGCGCCACGGCGGAATGTGCATGCCCTGCGCCCTTAAAGCCCCCCGCATCGCGCCAGATACCACCTCCACCAGCCGCGCCAGCCGCTCCTGCCGGCCCACGAAGATCAACGGCGCGGATTCGAGCGCGCACGCGTACTCGCGCGTGGGCCGTGCGATCTGGAACTGAGCGCGGAAGTCCAGGTCGACGATGAAGCGCTGGGGGGTGGCGGAAGCGGGGGAGGGGGGAGCGGGGGAGGGGGAAGCGGGGATGGCGGAAGCGGGGGAGGGGGAAGCGCCGTCGGCGGAAACAGAGGAGGCGGCGCAAGGGGGGAGGGAAAAGCGAGGGGCGGTGTTCGGGGGGGTGGTTCTGGTGAAGGTGGGCGAGGGGGAGGCTGGAGCGGGGGAGGTGGAACTGACGCAGGAGGAACAGGGGGAGGCGGATGCGGGGAGGCGTGCGCGCGGATCCGCGGAGACGAGGACGTCAATGTACTCGTATGACCCTGGCGAGACAGACAGGAGACAGGCGGTAGATGTTTCAGGTAAGCTGGTGCAGAAAAACTAGGCATTATTACAAGGCGATTTGTGAGGAAGCGGGGTGAGGAAGGAGGAGGCGCAGGAATCCTGATTTGAGAATTCTCAAATACCCCTGCAAAATCTCGGAGCAGGGGATACGGAAAAAAAGGACTCTACGAGCAATAAAACCCTGTAAAAACCCCTGCAAAAACCTTGAAGCAGGGGATACCGCGTATGACACTCACCCTCGGGCATGGTGGGCGACGTGTCCCACTGCGTCGTGCACACCGCCGCGTCGTACCCCATCGCACGCAGTCGCTCTGCGACCGCCGCGTTCAGACTGCTCGTACCGCGCAGGTCGTTCGCGTGGCACGCGCGCGCGTCGGTCATCACGGCGATGACGTCATCGTAGAGGCCGCTTTCGACGGGGCCATCCATGGCTGCAAGCGACTGGAGGAGACACGCGACGCGGGGGAAGAGGAAAAGAAAGATTCGGGAAAACGGGGGTTTAGGTTTTGATAGTCGAGTCGCGCACATGCTTATAGCGGGGATAAAGACACAGATGAACAACGGCGAGACAGGGTTTTTTGGAGGGGTTTTTGCAGGGGTTTTTACACAGGAGTGACGATTCGTGGGGGTGAGGGTTTCGTACCTGGACCGTGCGAAGTTGATCGTGATCTGTCACTTGCATCTGCCTGTCCAGATAATCTGCGGACAGCCGTTGATTCGCCTCCTCGCCTAGCGATCCCAAGTTGTATTGCGCCTGCGCGCTGCGTCCCGCTCTCAGCGTCGACAAGCCATCGAGCGCGTCGCTATCCTCGTCGCAACCTTCAAAATAATCGGAAATCAGATCCGCTAGCCGAATCGATGATGAGATCGACACGTCACCAGCCACGTCAGCGCGTGATACGGCCGTGGTCGACGGGTCTTGCAGCTGGAGGTGGAGCGCGTCGCCGCGAATTAGATGCAGCCCGCAACGGTCGGCGGGAATTGCGGAAATGCCGGAAGAATATATTCCGCGCGGGATCGACTGCTGCGCGACGGGCACTAGCGGCAGCTGATACAGCTGGTGCTGTAATTGCTGCTGGAACGAAGACACGTGCTGCTGAGAGGGCGGCGGAGCGGGGATATGGAAAGCGCTAGGAGCCGCTGGGCCAGATGAAATGCCTAGATTCGCGGGACCCTTGACGGACGCATTTTCGGCGCCGGTCGACACGCGAATCTCTTTGCTGAGAGCGTGTGCGAAGCGCGAGGAGCTCTGGGAGGAGAGAATGCTAATCAGGCTCGGCATGGTGCTGTGTCCGACCTCCTAATTCTGTTAGAATGGCGGAGTCGCGAAGGCTGAGGAGGAGGCGTTATGCCGGGCTGTCAGTGAGCGGCGGTCAAGAGCAGTAGAGCGGCGGTTGAACGAACTTCAAAGCTTGTAGGTGCGTGGGAGAAACGAAATGACCAAGTTTCGATTTGATGCCTGTAGATAAGAGTAGAGCACCGTATCGTCTCGCCAGTCCCAACCCAACTAGAGAGCGCAGGGTCAAAGCGACGAGACGACGAGAGCAACCCTCTGTTCGCACTGGTTCCACACCACACGTTGCGTTGCGAGGGACTGCTTTCAAACTCGGGTGACGTGTCAGATGGGAGGGGTGAAAGCGTGCGGTGCGGAAAGCGAAATGCAGGTCTGTGGCCTTGACAGCTTTTTATCCGATTTTGTGCGGTGCGTGACGGGGACCAATTGAACGGAATCGAAAAGGTCCCGACTTATGAAAGATGAAGGGTCAAGAGAGTCTCAGTCTCCCAAACAAGACACGTCCCCCACAGTCACGCCTGCCTGGCAATGTGAAAGAAAGGAGGGGCTATGACTGCTACTGTCAACTTGCGTTCCGTTGGAAATGTGCAACCGTGCATGAATCTCAAATCTCAAATGCTGCAATGCATTTGTTGCTTCAGTCTCGATTTCAAAACGGGGAGGAAAGCGAGGTGGGGTAGATGGTGGAGGTGAGAAGCTGGGCCGGAGTGGGATAGGGTGGGTGGTGGGAGAGGCTGGGACAGTTTGGTTGAAAACCGCGCCGCGAACGAGCTCTCACATTTGGTGCCGCAGCGCCGCGCACTTCCTCATCGTACTTAGTTACCCGTTAAATGAATTTCCCCAAAAAAGCCAAAGTCGGCGATCCGATGGCTCTTGTACACCCTCATTCTCAGTCTACGCACAATTGGGAGCACTGGCTACAGTGCGTCTGATTGCTTGGACCCTAGCGATCTGGTGCTTGGAGCCGAACTCTAGGTAGGTGGCGGGCAAACGCACTCCCGGGGAACGGTATGTAAACTTACAGTTAGTTGTTCGTACGGTTAAGTACGGCAAATGTGCTTACAGCGTATGTTCTTGGACCATGTTGGACGCATTGATGTCATTACAGCTGGCATGTTCATGTGGCGATTGTGCACAGACTGAGAATGAGGGTGTACAACATTTGTAGGAACGTTGAAGTACAGTATTTGAGCCTTCAAGACGAGTACATACAGACACGTAATTCTGTTCAGTTGGTCCCGCCAGTACCAGGCTAGCGAATCAGCGGTCATGACGCAGAATCCCCCGCACAAAAAGGATATCTTCTAGAAAGCACCCAACTAGACCGGGGCAGCAAAGATCTGAGAGAAGCTTGGTGCATTCCGTTCTCACGATGGCGTGTCGCTTACGTAGCTGCAGTTTAGAGGTTGAGAGTGCTCTATTCGGGCCGAGGGTGTCCGATTCACCGCGAGGGAGGGGCCTCGAGGTGTTTTAAGTTTTAAGTTTTATTAATAGGTCGTAACCCACATATACACTGTCGAGAGCAAGAATGAGAAACCTCAAAACCTAAAAGGTCTGCGCCTGACGGCGCTGTCTTGCCTTGCCTAGCAAGCAAATGTTGCCCGAGCTACACTTGTCCCACACTTGTGTAAATGCCACGAGAGCTTTTATGGGGGATGGAAGTTTTCCCTTCGCAGCCACGTTGTTTTCAGCTCGGGATGGAGAGAGGGGATACCAGCTGCGTCGAAGTGGAGCAGTCTCCTCCTAATGCCGAACCTGACTCTAGAGGCGCTCCGTTTCTGTTTCTTGATGGATGCTTTAGCTCGACGTATGAAGAAGATTTTGCACGCGCGTAGGAAGACTGCGAGAACCGTGTGCAGGGACTGCACCGTAGAGGTCTGGACTTGATTGTGGACGGCATCGCAGCGCTCATTCCACAGCACTTTTGCTGCTGCTCCCACGAGGAGGCTCCATGGCGCTACACGGCCAGCCGGTGTAGAGAGCGGAAATAGGGTCATTTCAGTCGGGACGTTGATGCCTAAGTGGTCTCGCGCAGTGCGTTGGAGCGCCAGGTGATCGCTGGCGCGTTGCCACAGTCCGAAAAGATGTGCGTGAGCGACTCCGGCGTCCGGTTATTGCAACGTACGCAGTTTCGTCCGAGAGGAGTGAAAGGGACACGTGTGCCGCACGGTAAGGAGCGGATGTATAGTCGGTACAGCACGTCACGTTGCCTGCTGGGTTGCTCGGAGAGGAAGGGCTGTGTCAGGATGGGGAGGGTATCCAAAGGTTCCGGGAGCAGCTCGTTCCATTGTTCTACGTGAGGTAGCGGTTGCCTGGTGTAGATCAATTTCCGGATGGCGGCCAGGGACGAGCAGTGTTGCAGAAACTCAAGCCTACTGCCAAGGCCTGCGCCCGAGCAGAAAGTTCCTGCCAGCCAGCCGTTGCGCACGAAGACTGGGATGACCGCGGTGAGTGGGAGGACCCGCGACTCTGTCTCTTGTTCCGCTATTCGTAGGTCTGTAACGTGGAAGCAGCTGAACCTCGCCGTCTGGTTGGGGAAGACCGCCTGCACCTTTAATACTGCGGCGCCGCTCCGAGACCGGGGGAAGCCATTAACGGTTCAAGTCTTGGCGGGTGGACAGCCGTGGGGAGCGCCAAAGTGGCGGTGAGTTCCGCGACTGCACGTGCCGGCGTTGAATCAGGCATGTATTTGAGGATATCCTTGTGGGCGAGGAAGCAGTGCAGCCCATATGGTAGGGTGCAGCATGTTCTGGCGATTTCTTCTGTTGGGGTGGGAAGAAAACGACGGCCAGCACGTTGCACGTTCAGCGCTTGTATATGCTTGGAGGGTTCAATGGCTCCGGCGCCGCCGTGGCATCGCTTGTTGTATAAGTATTTCTTCGGAACAAGCCTGGTTCCTCTGCCCTGGGCACGGTACTTGGAGGTGGACAGAAGGTTTCCAACTATGAGGTCTAGTTGTTTGGTGACACCTTCAGGGGGGGGCTGAAAGCGACCTCCAAAGCCGAAAAGGGGAACCAGGCGCTCGGTGTTTAAGGCGGATCGGCAGGTGACGGTGGCGTGTAGGTTAGCGAAGAAAGCCGCCGTAATGCAGATCTGCAGGTAATTTTCTCCCATGTGGTTGTTCCAGGTGCGTCCGATTGGATGTATATACCCAAAATGCGCTCGGCTTCGTTCGGGTGTCGTACAGGTATGGGACATGTGAGGGCAATGTCGCTGGCCGGCACGTGGAAAAGGGATAGTGAGCATTTAGCCCAATTGGGGTGTTCGCCCGAGATATCTGCAAAGGATTGGAGCAGGCTAATAGCTAACTGTAGTTCAGCGCCTGAATTGAGGAAGAGAGACATGTCGTCGGCATAACAAGCAGCTAGCCGACGTTGCGTAGGGGATAAGGCAAAGCCAGGGAGGGAGACGGAGAGGTGGCGGTGGAGGACCTCGATGACACAGTTAAAGAGCAGGGGTGCCAGTGGGCAGCCTTGCCGAACACCGGTACGTACAGGGAAGGAGGGTCCGGGCAGGTTATTCACGAGCACTTGTGTGCTGGTTCCTGAGTGAAGCAGACGAACCCATGTGACAAATTCTGGTGGGAGCCCGAGGTGTGAGAGACACGTGTAGAGGAAATCGTGGTCGACCATATCGTATGCTTTCTTGATATCAACCGTGACTAGTATGAGGGGAAGGTTTTTACTTTCTGCCCATTCCAGGAGATCTAAAGAGTCATTGATGGTGTCCCCAATGCGGCGGCCTTTTATGAAAGCGGACTGTGCAGGATGTATGATCCGGCGGAGAATGAGTTGCAAACGTTGTGCCAGGCAGAGCGCCAGCACTTTGTAGTCCGAATTCATTAGCGTAATTGGTCTTAGATTCTCAACGAAGGCGGCGTCAGTACGCTTGCGGATGAGAATGGTTTGCCCATGGAGCATTGATGCAGGCATCTGCTGGGAGCTTTCGATGGCAGTGAAAAGTCATTGGAGCGCGGGAGCGAACTGGTTCGAGTAAGTTCGGAAGTAGTCTCCTGCCAGGCCATCTTGCCCAGGTGTTTTTCCCCTTGCCAGAGTTTTGATGGCGCGTTGAACTTCAAGGAGGGAGATGGGGGTCGCCAGTCGCACTTTCAGGGGTTGCGGTAGGGCGGATGGGTATATGTGTGCCCAGAAGTCTGGAGAGGGGGAGGGTTGATGTTGGCCGCTGTATAAGGCTGTGTAGAAGCTTGTGCAGTGGGCGGACATAGTGGGCAGATCCTGTATTTTGTCTCCTGAGGGAAGGATGAGGTGAGGGATGGTAGCCGCCTTGAGGCGAGAGGTGAGGCCGACGAGCAGAGAGGGTAGTCCCATTTCTTTGGCACCCTCCACTTTTAGCTTAGCTTTTAAAGCGATGGTGGCAGCTTTTCCTGCAATGTATTGGTCAAACTGTTTGGAGGTTTTATCCAACCTAGCACGGGATTCCGTGTCGCGCGGCGAGCGTGCCAGGATAAGTTGCAAACGGCAGATTTCGTTCTGAAGGTGAGTGAGCGTGTGTTTAACTCGCAGTCGTTCCTCTCGAGAGTGCTGACGAAGGAAGTGGCAGAGCCGCTTTTTCCACGGGTCCCACATCTCAGGTCCGAGTGGAGTGGGCAGTTGTTGACATGCTTCGGTCGTAAGTTTATGCACGAAAGGGTGGTGGATTAGGGAGTGAGGTAGCCTCCAGGTACGGGGGGCACAAAGGATATTGTTGAGACCTAGTAGCAGCTCTGGATAGCGTGAATGATCTGAAACAGTATGCGCAATAGGTCGGTGTGCAAAGGCCAGCATCCGTGAGAGCCACGGGTTAGAAAGGTAGATTCTGTCCAGCCGAGACTTGGGTGGGTCTGTGGGGTTGCCATTGAGAAAAGGAGACTCATACGTAAACTCGATAGCATCAGGGTGACGACTACGGAATGCGTCAGCAAGCCCGTGTTTTTCCATGACTGAGGAGAGGAGTGCGCCTTCTCTTACTTCGGTGGTACGTAGGTCTCTGTTACGATCCCTTGAAGTGGTGACAACGTTAAAATCTCCCATGACCATTGTTGCCTGCGTGGCAGATGCAATATCAAGTGCGGCGTCAAGCTTTGCTTCCCACCAGCGACGTCTCTGTGGTTGATAGGGAGGTCCGTACATGCAGAAACATCTGAATTGCTCCTGCAACACCCGGATATGTACCATCAAAAGATAGCCGTCATCGGAGGAGGAGCGGTCAAATATAGAGATTGCTTGGTTGAAAATAAGTACTGCGATACCACCAGCGTCTGCTGTGCCATTGCTGACGGTGGGCGGGGTTTGAGCGTAAGCTTTAGGTCGGAATTTGTGAATGAGCTTGGAGAAGTTTCTGGTTAGCCGTGTATCTATCAGGACAAGTATATCTGGCATTTGGACAAAGGAGGCTTTAAGTTCATCCATTTTCTGCAGGGAGTTAAGACCGTTAACGTTAAGACAGGATATGTTGATGGGGACTAACATTGGTGCCCGCGGGGACCCCCTGTGCATAGAGATGCACACATCCACGGGGGTGTTATGTTACTGCTTTTACTGACTAGGGCTGTGTAGCCCCGTTTAGTGCACCATGGCCTGTTAAGGTCAAGGGTGGGGTAATCCAGAATTTGCCAAGGGCCGATTATCCTGATGCTTTCCAGAGATGGTTCATAGCCGCGGTAGTAAACACAGAGTTGGTTAAGAGCAAGCAAACTGATTCTCTCAGAAAAGTGCAATGATTCCAGCGTGGTACACGACCAGCACACGGCAGTGTCACAGTAAACTACCAAGGCCTGCGCCGGGCCTAGACGGCATACAGCAAGGAAGCAAACAAGACAGATTCTTAGTCTGGTCCAGGTGCGGCTTTTCACAGTAGTGATGCCAAGAAAGATGCAATCTCCTGGCGCTGGCGGAGGTCGTGCACCTTCATGGGCCCCAAGGTTTCCAGTGCAGTCTGCTCGGTTTCCGTCTGCATGAGGCGCAGCCCATGCCCGGGCGAGCGGATGTGCTCGAAGGCGCTGTCGATCGCAGGCCCACATTCGAAGTCGCATATGGCGCAAGTCCAGAGTTCCACGTCGTCCTCTGATCCGATGTACAGGACACCCGGGTCTGCTTTGACTGCCAGCGGGACGGGGGTCTGCCCAAGCAGCTTGGCTGAGAGCGTGACAAGGGCAGCAGAGGAGAGGGTGGGCAGAGAGATGGGTGAAGGCGAGGGGGGTCTCTCCAGACGGCGTTGAGACCGATGAGACACCATAAAGGCAGTGACAAGAGTTGCGGCCCAGGAATAACAGCGAGTGAGGGGTGGCATAACACGAGATACAGGTGGCAGGGGCAAGGTAAGGGAGGGAAAGTGGCATGTGACGAACACAGCATAAGGCACGAAAACCCCATGTCGTACCATTGACACTTTGGAGCTGAGCAACCGTGATCGTGAATCGGTTGGCGAGGCGTCTGCTGCGGGTAGCAGCGAACCACTGATGATCACGCGTCCTGTGATTACTCGTGCAGATATCACACGCGTGGCATGACAGATTGATGATCATGGGAAGCGTGGCGTCCTCGAGCCACAGCACGGCGGGGATGTTATCGAAGAACGGATCGTCGGTCTCTGCAATGGGCAGCCCCATCATCTGCGGCTGCGAACTTTCTTCATACGGATCATAGGCCTTGTGAAAAGCCCGGATGTCGAAGAGCCATTTCCGCTCCTCCGTCGTGCGGCTCGTTGTGAGGAGCTGGCGGACCCCGCTCACTGAGTAGCCGAAGGGAACGTTCCGGATCACGAGGTGGGTGTCTCCACGGGCCTTCGCCGCGGTGAAATCTGGTTCCGGATCCACGTAGAGTTTCAGCTCCACGGCACCCCCGTTGTAGTGGTAGGTCATAGGGAACGCCTTGCGGAAGCCCCTGGCGTCATCCCTGGTGGGGAGTTGGAACACGTGGCGCGCGTACGCGCGGCGGGACAGGCGGAGCACTTCACCCGGCGCGGATTCAAACGTTGGCACACGGTTAGAGTGTGTAAAGAAGGCGGGACGCAAGCCAACGCGAACACGAGCGATGATTTTGCTGCGATGCTGTTCGGCCAGGTTATCAGGGAAGAGTATGGTGACCAGCGTGTGCGTGTCGCGTACCAGGTTATGTACAACCTCACCGACGACATCGCGGTTGCGACGCAGCCGACGGCAAGGACCGTGCAGCACCGGAGCGGGCGCCGCACTGGACTCCAATCCATTGAGGGTGAGGTCCGGAGCCGCTTAAGGGTCGGCAGCCGGGTCCATGACGGGCATTGGAGCAGGTCGAGCAGATGACGAGGTTTCCCCCGTGCAGATCTTTTTGGCCTGCGGCGACTGGCCCTCGTCCGGAAGGAGGTCGCTCACGGAGGGGACGTGAGCTCCGTTGTCGGCCATTACTGCATCGAAGCCCTGAGTATTGGCCATGACGGGAGCGACGAGGGAAAGGGGAACCGGGAGGGGGTAGAAATAGGTGAGATCGTACTCACGCAGACGCGACGAGGCGCGATCAGACGGATCCGAGGTTGGAAAGTCACATAGTGCGCGATGCGTGATTTTGCTGGACTTGAGGTCCAAGCAATCAAGAACCCCGAAGGGGTCACGCTGTCTCTCGAGGGAGAACAGTCGTGCGGAAACAGAGACTTTGGCCATGAAACACAGAAAGCCACTGCGGCTTGCGTAATAGAGCATGCAGACGAGCCGCGTAGGTCTTACGTCAGGCTTGAGCATGGCCCATTCGGCAGAGGGCGAGGCGCGCGGACTGAGAGGTAAGGCTGACGTAGAAGGAGGCCTCTGGCGCCAGCACGTGGCGTCACAGTGTTGTGCAGGTAAAGCAGCCATGGCGGGGCGAGAGTCATGTTTCCTCTTTGCGTCATGCCAACGGCAAGAGCCTTGTTGGTGACGGTTGCACAACCTGGAAACGTCCTCGAGACTGTGTTCCTGACTGCGGTGACGACGTCGAGCCCATGCATGGTGGTGGGAGGCCGGAAGTTGAGGACCCGCCTGAGTGAAGATAGGGTCGATGGCCTGGTTGTGTAGATCTGGCGCTGTGCAGCTCCATTGTCCGTGAAACGCACCGTTGCGATGAGGTTACGCTGGAGATTGCTTGAAAATAACCTGCCACAAGGATTGTCTTGATTCATGCTGTTGACTGCTTACCTTGGGTGAACAGTTGAAAGCTGCCGACGGTGGGGATGTTGACACAGTACAAAACGCATTGTGCAAAAATTCCCGCGGCGATGGAGCATCCGACCTGTCGAAACCACAGCAAAGACACGTGAGAGTGAACAGCAGGCAGCAACTTACCGTGTGTGACGAGGACTAGAGGGAGATGAGTTCGATGGTCCCATCGGCTCTGGGTGGCGGACGGTTGTTTGAAGTTCCAAACTCACGAAGCTGGGCAGGCGGAGAGCAGTTGGAGTTGGTCATTTTTTTTTCCAGCTTCGAGGGGCCGCGAGGTGGGCCGATGCCCTCGCCGTCGTCACCCCGGGCACGCGAAGGAAAGCGAGGGTGGCACTGACCTGGCACCGCCCACCTCTCCCGACCCTCCTGGCGAGGGAACCGAGGCCCGGCCCTTCGGCTCCTGACCGGGACGCCTAGCCGGAGCTGCCCGTGGGGACCACCCTCTGACTCACAACCGAACCGGGTGACGCAGCTTGGTGGAAGCTAGCTGACTCAGCTCTCCGAGAATGGACCAGCTCGCCGTGGGCCTGGTTACCCGTGAAACTGAATTTCGTAATTTCCCTGCGTTCGTGTATGAGAAACTCGTGTTCAGGCAAACAGGAAAATCGTTACGAAAGAAAGGGGAAAAAAATCGTAAACTGCAACTGTAATTCAGTGCGGTGCCTGTCCGGGCATGTGGCGGAATGCAGGGCAGGGTATTTCACGCCAGGTCTTAAGTGAATTGCAGTGGCGACTAATTGACGGAGAGGTATTTCGCGGCCGGAACACCAAACGTTTGTGTTTTAAGGGTTTTTAGGCGCGAAAGTAGGACTCGCACCTGTGTTCATGAGCGCGTATGTATTTCGCGGTCGTCCGGACATGTGAATGCTGATTTTTCTTTTCCGGTTTTTCGCGCGTGCTACAGTATCAACGTCAGGTGCTTGGGCACGGAAAAATCAAGAAATGTGATATTCATGCGATGCCAACACTTTCGCTCAGAAAAAACGGGTTGAATCAGGTGCGATTAAACTCACGATTTTTAACCGTCCCTAAACGCGTATGTATTGCCCACAGGCGTTTACGCACCAGGCGATTTATGCCCACGATTGTGGGAATTGAAAAGCACGATTAGAAAACAATTTTCATCGCTTCGTAATTTGAGACACTCTGTGATCGCAGGGGCTAATTCGCACCCTCGTTTTCGAACTATTCGCGAATGCAGGGCCGATTTTCACACCCGCGTTACCACCTATTCACCGCGTTATCCACGTATCAACGGGCGATTTTCTACTACGGAATGCCGCAACTACAAAAGCACACCCTTTGGAATTTAGCTAAAAGCACTGAAAACGCGGGGCAACACTACCACTCCATAAAAGTCGTGTTTCCTTTAGTTACGACCAGCACGAATTGCTGAGTTCCTCAAGCAGCTTGAGTTTTCGCGCCATTGCGACAATGTTTCACAAGGGTCGCAGGCGCGAAAAGAATACCTTCAGGAATGCCGAAGCGCTCGTTATTTTACACCTTTTAACCACCCGACGTCTGAATATTCTCATGGGTCTTTAGCCGCGAACGCTGTTCGTGGAATTCATGCGGGGCGCAAATCACACCCGCACGATTTCCACACCTGCACGAATGCCTAATCTCGTGCTTAAAGCACTCAATCAAAGCTGTTCAAATCATGTCGCAAGACTACTAATCCCCCCCTTATAGCACTCGGCTTTGCGCAAGTTTCATAACCTGGATATATTTTTGACAAGGGCTTTAAACAATAAACCGTGAACTACCCGCGAAAATAATAGCTAAACGAAAAGTACGGGGATTGTCCGTTTGAGAGACGCACATATAGACCCGCACTTCAAAACTAGAAAGTTTCGGAATGCAGCTTTTGACCGATTTCCCTGTGAATCTTGATTGTTTCGCGCCTGTTTCACAAGGGACGTAGGCGCGAAAATACCTAACAAAAATGCCTAGTGTCCGGTTTTTAACACTGCTGTGTTCCACCCGAATCTTGCACTATTGACAGGTCATTAGACGCGGACGTAGTTCGTGTAGGTGGTCGCTGGGGAAGTAAACGGGTTTTCGTTTTCCGCTCTTTCGTCCCATCATCTGAGGACACCCGAAACTGATATTGCCCACGAGTTTCGTGTGCTAGTTGAGCCATGTGTCAGGACAAATCCACGCGGGTGGAACATCGCCCGTGTGTTTCTTTTCAAGTTGTGATCTCGTATTTCCGCGGGTATGATTTCGCCCATCCGTCGGCCATTCGTTTTTTCGCGGGTGTGAAAATTTCCCTTGCTTTCGTAGGTTTGAACAGTTCGTGCTGGACATTGCTATCGTGCTCGTCGTTTCGGAAAGGAACATCGCTTAACAGTTTTCGGGAAGGCGTTCAGTTCGCGGGCCTGTCAGTGCTTACAGTTTTCGAGAAGGCTTTCAGTTCGCGGGGATGTCAGTTCGTGGGCGTTCGTGAAAACTGTGTTTAGCCGCAAACTTTGGGTGGAAATGGCTGTCAGTTCGTGGGCCCCGAAAGTTCAGGGTTTCTTTTCGTTACGACCAGCCCGACTTCATGCATTTTTCTATGCAGCATGTGTTTTCGCGCTATGCGGGAATTCCCATACCCACACACGGAATGGGTGTTTTGAGTTGGTGGCTTCTTGTTCGTGTGCGACTGACGACGTGGATGTTAAGCTCGCGAGGACACATCATCTTTCGTTTCTCGTTCGTCAGCCACTGGTTCCTTGCCTCGTGTTATTTACGACACTTATTATGTAGACACGTGGCTTGCGACGGGGGAACTCGGTTTCCCCTGGGGTTTCCGCGGGATTTCGACGGCCAGTAATCCGTTCAGTAACCCGTAGGAATTCCCTAGGGCCGTCGGGGCGAGGAAAAAGTTTTCCTCAGCGAGGGTCCCTAGGGAATCCCTCGCGACATGCAGCCTCCCTCACTCACTGGCGGACACGTGTCCGCCTTTCCCGCCCGAATCCATTTGCTCGCCTGTTTCACGTGCGCGGATCCGCGGGGAAAATTACTGTACGTATGTATTAGATGGTTGATGGTAATCGAAGTGGCCACAATTTAGCCCCAGATCTTGGACACGTGGCTCATTGAGTTGTGCTATTCGTCACATAACCCCATGCGCAATCCCTACGTATCCATATCCTTGTTAGCGCAGTGCGTGATTCACGATGTATCCCGATTATGTAATATTTTCAGTGTTAAAACTTACTACATTGAAACCATTCGCATGACTTTTTGCCAGCATTTAGCGAACCCGACAAGATACGTGAAAACATCCTATAACGGTTATCTTCTACATTTTTAGCCATATTTTTGTTATCTTTCGCATATATTTCTTTTTTTTTATCCTGGCTGCACTAATCTCGGTATCGTGAAACTATTTGGTCGGAACTCGAATTGATGTGCTTGTTTAGTGAACCCTAGTATAGCGAGGTTAAGATATCAAAATACGAGGTCCCCCCCTCCCCCTCCCCCGCATTCAAGTTTTACCGGAACTTCGTCTGCTTCATAAGTCATAGATTTCGCACTGCCCATTGCCCCGCCCGCTGCCCCGGATCGCGTTGCCAACTGCCCCGCGCCCTGCTCCGATTCGCGCCTGCCCGCTGCCCGCCGCCTCCACTGCCTCTAGTACCGCTACTACCTCTCGCCCCGCCACTCGCGCGTCGTCCGCCCATTTTCCATCGCCAGGCGCTGCCGCCGCCTTGCGCTCATAATTCCAGATCCGATCCAGTATGACGTCATCAGCGATCGGCAAGTGCGCCAGTGACGTCAGCGGCCCTCTGCTGCGCGCCAAGCTGCTCCCCTGGGCTGCCGCCGCCTTGTTTTCCGCCACCTCCCGCGCGTTCTCGTCCGCCAGCAGCAGCGCCGGGCGTTGCGCGCAAGCTGGGGGCGCGGGCGAGGGGGCAGGCGGCGCGGCGGAGGGATCCGGGGGAGGGGGGAACCTCGCGGCGATCAAGGAGCTCCGCGCGCGCACGGGCGCGCCGGTGAAGGACGTGAAGGCGGCGCTGGTGGCGGCCGGGTGGGATCTGGGTGAGGCGTTGCTGTAGCCATGCGATACTGTTGCGAGGCTGTACTGTTGCAAGACGGGTACTGTAGCGATGCGGTACTGTAGCGATGCGGTACTGTAGCGAGGTTGTACTGTAGCGAGCGGCTAGCTACATACTCCACCGGTACAAGAGGCGGTGCTGGTGGGGGTGGGATGTGCGGGAGGTGCTGTTAGGTGGCAGCAGAGGGGCTTCTGGGGGAGCGGGAGGGACTGCACCACTCAACCACCACCTTTCTCCGCCCACTCCCCCCTCCTCCCTTTTCCTCCCACCTCCTCCCCACTCATCCACTCCCCCCCCCCCCCCCTTCCCCCCCCCCCCCCCCCGACGCGGCTTTTACAGAGCTCAGGAGGCGGGGCCTGGCAGCGGCGCAGAAGAAGCGGGCGCGCGTGGCAGCGGAGGGGCTGGTGGACGGGAGTGACTCCAAGACCACCTTTCCCCTCTCCTCCCCCCCCCCCCCCCCCCCCCCCCCCCCCTGCTCCCACCAGATTTGGCATTCACGGAGTTGAGGAGGCGGGGGCTGGCAGCAGCACAGAAGAAGCGCGCGCGCGTGGCAGCGGAGGGGCTGGTGGGCGTGGCGGTGCGGCGGGGCGTGGGAGCGGTGGCGGTGGAGGTGAACAGCGAGACTGACTTCGTTGCCAAGAACGACCTCTTTCAGATGCTTGTGAGTGTGTTTATAGGAGGTACTTTTGAGTCTTCTCAAAGGGTGTGGGAGCAGTGGCGGTGGAGATGATGAGTGAGACGGACTGGACTTTGTCGCATCGCACGCAACCATCTCTGTCAAATGCTTGTGCGTGCGTCTTGTGGGGGCTATGTTTGAACCTTTAGCCTTGAACCCTGAACCCTGAGCCTTAAAGCACGAGCCTTTAGGTTCGTGGCTGCACTGGAAGTGGAGATGAATGTGCAGGCGAGAGAGTGGGGGTTCAAGAGTTGCCATGTAAGTTGACCCGCGAGGTAGGCTTAAAGTTGACCTGCGAGGTGGGCTTTAGGTTGACCTGCGAGGTGGGCTTGAAGTTGACGACTGTAATTTGACCAGTGAGAGAGGATCTGAGCAGTGAGCCGACCAAAATCAAGAAACCAAAGGAGTGAAATCGTTTTCTTCATATGCTGCTGAGTATGACGTCGTATCACTGCTGCACGGATGGCATGGCATGGGTCCATTGTGTGTCATGCTGATGAGTGTTATGCTCAGAGGGCTGCGAGGACTGAGACGGTTGAAAGGGCTGAGACGGTTGAGAGGGCTGAGAGGGCTGAGAGGACTGAGAGGGCTGAGAGGACTGAGAGGGCTGAGAGGGCTGAGAGGACTGAGAGGGCTGAGAGGACTGAGAGGGCTGAGAGGACTGAGAGGACTGAGAGGGCTGAGAGGACTGAGAGGACTGAGAGGGCTGAGAGGGCTGAGAGGACTGAGAGGACTGAGAGGACTGAGAGGACTGAGAGGGCTGAGAGGACTGAGAGGACTGAGAGGGCTGAGAGGACTGAGAGGACTGAGAGGGCTGAGAGGGCTGAGAGGACTGAGAGGACTGAGAGGACTGAGAGGACTGAGAGGACTGAGAGGACTGAGAGGGCTGAGAGGACTGAGAGGACTGAGAGGGCTGAGAGGACTGAGAGGGCTGAGAGGACTGAGAGGACTGAGAGGGCTGAGAGGACTGAGAGGACTGAGAGGACTGAGAGGGCTGAGAGGACTGAGAGGGCTGAGAGGACTGAGAGGACTGAGAGGGCTGAGAGGACTTGCATGACTCGCAAGACTTCAAGTGTACCCTGTCGCTCATGGGCTCTTCTTCCGCTGCCCCACACCTCTCCACCATCTCACATCACATCCCTCCGACCTCCCACCCCACCTCTCATCCCTCCTCTCTCTTTCCTCTCTCCGTCCCCTCGTTCCGTTCCTGCAGGTTTCCAAGGCAGCAGCCGCAGCGTTGAGCCTTTCCTCCTCTTCCTCCGCCCACTCCTCTCTTCCGCTCCCACTTCCTCTGGCGAAACTTGAGGTGAGCGTGACATTAAGTAGCAAGACAGTAGTTCGCATGCCAGTAGTTGGCGTGGTGTTTGTGAGTCCGCGTTTCCTCCACCTGCCGTTCAAGTGGACGTTCAATTTCAATTGCCTTCACTCCCATTGTCCCACACACGTGCACTTACTCACACTCGTGTCATCCGCGCTGCCCTCAACACCAGCCCAACCCCGCTCTCCCTCCCTCCCATCACCAGCAAGCCAGAGCGTGTTTTGACCACCAGAAGAGAAGCAATCACAAAGCCGGCAGCTGAAAAGCAGAGGTAGTGCCTGTGTTGGGGGCACTCATACCCTTCAAATAACTCCCCTCGCCAACTTTGTCCCCCACTCCCTCCCATCACCAGCAAGCCAGAGCGTGTTTTGACCACCAGAAGAGAAGCAATCACAAAGCCGGCAGGTGAAAGGTAGAGTTGGTGAGGTGACCCTGTTGGCGGCACTCGTAGCCTCCAACTCACTCCCCTCGCCATCCCTGTCGCTCGTTCCCCCCCACCACCAGCAAGCCACGGTGTCCTTTGACCACCCGAAGCTGTTGGAAAACCGGCAGCTGACAGGCAGAGGTGGTGGTTGTGTTGGGGGCATTCACATCCTCCTCAACTAACTCCCCTCCGCATCCCTACCCCCCACTCCCTCCCACCACCAGCAAGCCACGGTGTCATTCGACCATCCGAAGCTGTCGGGAAGCTGGCAGCTACCAGGCATACGTGGTAGCCGTGTTGGCAGCACTCACATCCCCTAACTAACTCCCCTCCCAACCGCTGTCCTGCACTCCCTCACTCCCGCCCACCACCAGCAAGCCACTGTGTCATTCGACCACCCGAAGCTGTCGGGAAGCCGCCAGCTGGCAGAGGCGGTGGCTGAGGTGCCGGCAGTCGCCCCCCCCACCACCCCCACCCAACTAACTTAACTCCCCTCCGCAACCCTGTCCCCCGCTCCCGCCTACCACCAGCAAGCCACGGTGTCGTTCGACCACCCAAAGCTGTCGGGAAGCCGCCAGCTGGCAGAGGCGGTGGCTGAGGTGGCAGCGCTGACCGGGGAGAACGTGCGCCTGCGCCGAGCCTTCCTGCTTCCCGAGCCTCGGCCGTGTGGCTCGGTGGCCACGTACCTGCACAGCAGCCCCGGGGCTGGCTTGGGGCGGATAGCTGGTCTTGTGTCCGTCTCTCTCTCTCAGCCTTCTGGTAGCAATAGCAGCAGCAGCAATAGCAGTAGCAGTGGGGGAGGGAGCAGAGAAGACACCGGATCAGAGGTAGCAGTGGTGGAGGGGGCAGGAGGAGGGGTGGAAGGAGCGGCAGAGGCAGCAGCAGCGGCGGTGGGGGAAGGAGTGGCGATGCATGTGGTAGCGATGAGACCGCTGTACCTGAGGCGAGAGGATGTGCCTGGGGAGGTGGTGGCGAGGGAGAGTGACGTGCTGCGAGCACAGGTGAGTGTGTCTTGACTTTTGAGTCGACTCAAAGTCAAGTCGATGCATGTGGTGGCGATGAGGCCGCCCGTCATGCCGTTAATGTTAGTGCAAACGGTCAGCTTGAAACCTCTTCTCCCCCCGTCGGGCCGTCCTCACCTGTCTCGCCATTCAAGCCACAGCAGCAAGCAAGCGGAGCAGCATGGTGGGGGAAATAGTATCATGGCGTCTGTATGCTTGGTAGAGGCAGCCTCTTGAGAGATAAAGAGGAGCCAGCTTTATGCAAGCTTTTGAGGCTCCTCTTTATGTCTCCTCTCTGCCCACACATGCTGTGGCAGCGGAGAGATGGTGGTGGGGTGACTGAGGGCTTGCCACCGGCAGGGCTTTGGCGGTCCTTTTTTTTTCACTCTCTCTCCCTCTCCCATCCTCTCTTTCAGGCAGTGGCAGCGGGCAAGCCAGCAGGCGTGGTGGAAAAGATGGTAGCGGGGCAGCAGAGGGGTAGCTACTGGCATGCTTCTAATGCTCCTGTTTTCTTTTTCCTCCCTCTCCCCGCCCCATACAGGCTGTGGCAGCGGGCAAGCCAGCGGGAGTGGTGGAGAAGATGGTGGCGGGGCGGCTGGGGAAGTTCTACGGGGAGGTGGTGCTGATGGAGCAGGCGTATGCCATGGATGACAAGAGAACGGTACAGGTGGGTGCCGAGTGGTTGGTGTGTGGAATGAGCAGGTTGTACATACGAAAGGTGCTGCTGATGGAGCAGGCTTATGCCCTGGACGACAAGAGAGCGGTGCAGGTGGGTTTCCTGTGGCGCGTGCATGCTTGATGCCTCACATGGGTGCTGTATGACCAGTGCACCATACAGGGATTTTCTCTTGTGGCACTGCTGAAGGTTCGATATGGATTTTCTCCCTAAAAATTATGTCTGAGGCTCGTGCATGCTTGATGACTCACATGGGTGCTGGATGACCAGTGCACCGTGCAGCCCATGGGGACATGCATGCAGCCCATGGGAACATGCATTCAGCCCATGGGAACATGCATTCAGCCCATGGGAACATGCATTCAGCCCATGGGAACATGCATGCAGCCCATGGGAACATGCATTCAGCCCATGGAAACATGCATTCAGCCCATGGGAACATGCATTCAGCCCATAGTTGCTGTTCATTCACCCCTGCCCCGTGCCCTTGACCGCTAAATTCTTCTGTGATTCCTTCCTCTGCATGCTTGTCAATGTAGAGTGTTTTTGAGAATTCTAAAAAATACTCTGTGATTTCTTACTCTGCATGCTTGTGTCAGCTCATTCTGCGCCGCGTGCTCTGCTAACCACATTCTGCTGTGCGCGCTCCATCCCTTGTCCCACAGAAAGTGCTGGCAGAAGCTTCCAAGAAGGCGGGGGCAACGATTCAAGTGGAGCAGTTCTTACGGCTGGAGGTTGGAGAAGGCATTGAAAGGTAGGAGTGGGCTCTTAGCATTATATTTCGACAAGTTTAATTGCTTCCTATCGATTGACACGATCAATTCTTACCCTCATTGCCTAGTATAATTGCCAATAACTGTCCTTCGCCGTTAATTCACTTCCATGCAAGTGGCTGATTACTGTATTTTCCCGGATATAAGACCCTCCGAAATAAAATTCCCATGGGACTTATATGCGGGGGGGTGTACACTTAAAATGGTCTAATCTGTGAGGACCCCCCTTTTGCTATTAAACATTTAAAGACCCCCCTCGTTGGTGTAGCCTGTGCAGTTCCCAGCGTTTTTCAACATTCACGAATCAGTTTTTAGGCTGATACAAGGAAATTCTGACGCGATCAATGCGTCAGACTCGAAATCTGACGCATTGACCGTGTCAGATCAGAGGTTTGACTTTGTACTTTCGCGATTGCTTTGTAGTTAGGTTCGATTCTGGTAGAAAAAAAAACCACTGTATAGCGAAAATCGGTCCCTTTTGAGTAAAATAGATGTCCAGGGGTCTTATCAATTTCCAGCCAGCATGATGTTCACCCTACCATTTTATACTGAATTTCTATAAAGCCCCCGGGTCTTATATCCGGGAAAAGACGGTATTCTTCCTTTGCTGCAATGGTTGCCACGTGGCAGGGAGGCCAAGGACTTTGCGTCCGAGGTGGCATCACAGGTGGCCTCGTCCTCGTGACAGCATGGCAGCGAGACATCATGACACCAAAGCAAGACAGCATAGCATTACAGCAAGACAGAATGGCAGCAAGACAGCAACACAGCAAGGCAGCATGGTTTCATCCATGTCGGCTCGACGGCTCCAAGTCGAAAGAGGGATGATAATGTTGTAGTCTCGTCGTCGACGATTGCTCATTGGAACGTTTTGTTACCGCTGGGATATGTCCACAGCATAGCGAACGACTGTGTCAAGGATTAAATGCGGCGGAAGAATCCGACGAAAGAATGATTTGTGAATTAGGTAAGAGAATTGAAAGAATTTAATATGAATTGAATGAGAACTGAATGGTAAGTGAATGATATTTGCGAATACAACCACGGATGGTACAGAATGCGAAATTGGTTTGTGGGACTTGGAATAGGAAAGGGTTAGGATAAGATTGCGAAAAAGTGGTCTATTTGGTAAACACTAGGCTGTGATAAGTTATAGTACGCTTTTCCAAATGAACTGTACAGCTTGAACGGTAAAAGTCAACGCGAGGATTTTAGGTTTGGAAAACCCCAGCAGGAGGCTCGGCGAAATATCGGGAACCAATAGCTGGGAGAGGCAAGGCAAACTGTCGTGAGTTGACCTCTCGGCTCCGCCGACAATCCTGGCTTGCAGGTGTCTGTTTCCGCAGCCTGTTGCTTCATTTACAGCACCATTTTCAAAGGTTCAAATTGTCTTTAGTGGAAATAGGTTTGGAATTTATTCTGTAATTCAGGCGGCGAGCCATCCGCCGAAGCATCACCTCATACCACTGCGTCGCGCTTGCTGTCGCACGCGGCGATTGTTGCGCTGCCACGCCGGTTGGAGCCGACGCTCGCAGATGGGTTCCGTTGATGGCGCGGCAGCGGCCAAAGCTGGCGATCTTGAGCCCCCGCCGCTGGTGCCCCCAAAACTCTCAAGCCAAAGCTTGAGGACGCGTCACAATTGCAACACCGGCGAGGATCAAGATCGCACACCGAAGCTGTTAACATCAATCTCCTCCGAGCCACATGTGTCGCGATCGTCCTCACGAACCTGATTTTGCGGGGTTAGATACGTTTCGGAAAGTTTTAAATTATTACGCTTGATTTGAGTACGGTGACAGATCGATCTGGAAGAGACATTTCCCTTGGTGACGTGACTCCAGTCTTAACGAAAGTTCGCGAAATAAGGATACACAGGTCTACGAAGTATTGTACACCCGAAACATCGATCTTCAAGGGGATCGGTGTCGCAATTGTGACGCGTCCTGAGTATACCCGACGACGGACATCACGACGGACGAGCGGATCCGAGGGTTCGAAAGTTTGAAATGAGCAAGCGGAGCGAGGGTGGCCTGGCAGCGATAGGGAGCGAGAAACCGGGAGCGATGGGAACCGCGCGAGAAGTAGAGCGAGGGGGCAGACTAAAAATTGTCCCATCTCGGGGATTGCGCCTTTTTACCACCGTATGGGGGTATTATCATACAAAGTCCGTGAGAACCCCATGTGCGACTCTCAGAGTCAAAGCTTCCTTCCGAGAGAATTGTGGAATTGTTTTCCAGGCTTATCTTTGGAAGCACCAGATCGCTGGGACAGCTAATTCTAGCAGTAGCAGCGACGGGCACCGCCCGTCTTACCCGGCGGGAGGAAACGAGGAGCGCGAGAGTGCGAGTGAGCCAGGAAAATTGCATTCCCAACATTTTTCGCTCCGGGAGCGGCCGGTGGAGAGAGCGACGGGGAGCGACGCGCTCTCGGATCCGAGGAGCAAGAGCGACTCGATTGGGGCTTCCTTGAAGGACCCGGAGTGGGGAACTCTCTTGATTGGAGTAAGTGAAACTGTAGGAGCGAGTCACTGTACAGTTATGACTCACTCTCTCGGAGAGACGTGGCGTTGAGAGACGTGGCGTTGAGAGACGTGGCGTTGAGAGACGAAACTGTTGAACGGAGGGGGAGCTCTGCCAGGGCACTGTTCCATGAATAGTAGAAGCCGCCGCGTTGGGATTCTTTTTACGAGTACATCCGTTTTGCTGCGCGTTTCCACGCGTGCTAGTAGTATTTTAACACGTAGTACATGTTTCCTCAGCCCGGCTTTCCAACACGTAGGTTTGAACACGTAGTACGTGTTTACGCATGGCAGGTATTGCTGGCGCACTGCGATGAGTGTGGAGTTGGGGGGGGCCTACGCCGCTCCCAGCCCCAATGATCATGTCACGGAGTCTGCTGCAGCGCGCCGCGGGGCGGCGGCGCATCATGGTGGCGGTGGAGGCCGCACCGTGCCGGCCGCTCTCATGGCGGCGCCGTCCTGGCTGTGGATGGCAGCTTGCGTGGCCGTTGTTGTGTGCTGGCTGCTCGTCACCAGTGGCCCGGTGAGAGAGACAGAGACAGAGAGGTAGCGAACCGGATCAAACTCTCATTTTCTTCATCTCATCTGCTTACCCATTTCAATCTCATGATGATCAAATCTCGCTCCTCTCACACAGTCGCGCTGATGCTACCCTTTTCCCTCATTGAACATCCAACCCCACCGTCCAGGCGGCGGCCAACAGTCAGCTGCAGGACCCCTCCCCTCTCCCATGGTCTCCCTTTCAGACACTCTGCAACAAATGGAAGTCTGATGCTATTTTGTTCCCTCCTTCTACACCCATCCTCAAACCTCACCGTCCAGGCGGAAAACAGTCAACTCCAGGACCCCTCCCCTCTCACATGGTCTCCTTTTCAGGCACTTTTTAACAAATGGAAGTCTGATGCTACCTTGTTCCCTCCTTCTACATCCATCCTCAAACCTTTCACCCCACCGTCCAGGCGGGCAACAGTCAACTCCAGGACCCCTCCCCTCTCACATGGTCTCCCTTTGCGGGGGAGCGGCCTGGCTGCATTCTCACCCTCGACTCGCGCTACAGCCGTGACGGCGTGCTGGCAGTAGAGGCGGCTGTAGCACAGCTCTTGAGGACCCTTGGGATAGAAGAAATAGGGGAAGGGGGTGGGCCCGGTGGGGGGTGGTTAGTGCAAAGGGGAAGGAAATTGCGTGCAGTGGAGGAGGGTGTGGTGCGGCTGGTGAGGCGGTTGGGGGCGTGGGGGGAGGGAGGAGGCAAAGGCGGACGGGAAGTGAGGGGGGAATGGGTAGGGGAAGTGGAACGGGATGGGGAAGGGCCGGGGGAAGGGTGGACCAAGGGAGGAAAAAGAGAGAGATGGGATGACGACGCTGTTGGCCTTAAGAAAGGGCAAGGAGGCAAGTCAGAGGGGGGAAGTGACACGCTGGAAAGAAGACGTGCGCTGTTTGCACGAGGGGACGAGGTGCCCGAGGTGTGGAGGCGGTTCTATGAGAGTCTGCCCAAGATGCTGGATGGCCATGGCAAGGAGCAGCTCAATAAGTTCCCCATCTGGCTCGCTCTGGCTGTCAACATGTGCGTGAGTGGCGCCATGCCGTCTTGTGCATTCCATTATTCCCCTCCCATTCTGGCTTTATGCATGGTGGCATGTTGCTGATTGAAGAGGAGTCAATCTGGTCTTTCAAGTCAAAGCAGGTTTTCTTTTTCATCTGCCCGCAACCGCAGGCTGTATGCGCGGCGGCATGGGTATCGGCTGGTGGTGGGAAACAGGTCAACGCGGTCAACGCAAGTCAAACCAAAGTTTCCCCTTGTATCCCATGCGTCTCTCTGTGTCAGGCTGTATGCGCGGAGGCATGGGTACCGGCTGGTGGTGGAGAACGGGTCAACGCGGTCAACGCGGTCAACGCGGTCAATGCAAGTCAAACCGAAGTCCCCCCTTCTATCATGCGTTTCTCTGTGTCAGGCTGTATGCGCGGCGGCATGGGTACCGGCTGGTGGTGGAGAACGGGTCGAATTTCATCCATGATAGACACCCAGCATGGTTCAAGGTGAGCATGCCAGCAGTTCATGTCTTCGCAGGGTGTTTTTGAGAAAATTCAAAAAAGCCCTGCAGTTTCATTCATGATAGATACCCAGCATGGTTCAAGGTGAGCATGCATACCAGTAGTCCGCACACAGAAAGTGTGAGGGGTGTTTTTGAGACGTCTCAAAAGTGTGAGGGATATACATCTATGATCGCACGTGAAAACTGCCAATGTGGTGCACCCAGCATGGATCAAGTTTCTTCTTTGTGTTATTCATCTCTTTCTTTTTTTGAAGGGATTTGTGACTATTGGAAGGAGGCAAATGGCTGTGGTTCAACAATATTCATCTTGTGCATGCTCGCATGTGTATCTTGCGTATGCACTCGTTAGCTGCACCTTGCACGCGTGCCTTTGTGCCCACTCTCGCATGCACACACAGAGTCATGGTCACACCCACACGTGCATGCATGCACGCACACACGCACGCAAGGAACAAAAGAACATCACCTTTCCTCTCCCTCATTCCCCTTTATGTGAAATCCACCTATCACTCTTAGCCACAGCTGGCGCTTGCACACATGCACTTGCATATGCAGTGGCATCAAACGAGCATAACGAGCGCGCATTGACACCTGTGCAGGTGCCCTTCATAGCGGAGCAGCTCTCCTGTTGCTGCAAGTGGGCATTATTCCTTGACTCGGATGCCTACATGCGCATGAACCACCACCAGCTCTCCATTGAAGCTTGGATAGACGCCATAAAGCAACCGGTGAGCCATAAAGCAACCGGTGAGCCATAAAGCAACCGGTGAGCCATAAAGCAACCGGTGAGCCATAAAGCAACCGGTGAGCCATAAAGCAACCGGTGAGCCATAAAGCAACCGGTGAGCCATAAAGCAACCGGTGAGCCATAAAGCAACCGGTGAGCCATAAAGCAACCGGTGAGCCATATAGCAACCGGTGAGCCATAAAGCAACCGGTGAGCCATAAAGCAACCGGTGAGCCATAAAGCAACCGGTGAGCCATAAAGCAACCGGTGAGCCATAAAGCAACCGGTTTCCATTGTTCTACACCCATCGGTTTCCACTGTTGTTGCTCTACACCCATCCGTTTCCACTGTTATTGTTATACACCCATCGGTTTCCACTGTTGTTGTTACACACCCATCGGTTTCCACTGTTCTTGTTATACACCCATCGGTTTCCACTGTTATTGTTATACACCCATCGGTTTCCACTGTTATTGTTACACACCCATCGGTTTCCACTGTTATTGTTATACACCCATCGGTTATTATGAAGCTTTTACTCCACTGCTATTTGTTTCTTTCCTGTCCATTTCTCCCACCTTGACTTTCTTACCGACCAAAGTCGACTTCCCGACTCTGACTTACCAACTGGTCTTCTCCACCCCCACAAATCCGGTCAACGGCTCTTGACTGAAAAGCCTCCCTCCCTTCTTCCCCTTCAACTCAGCCGTTGATACCTCAGCTTCTTCAATTAACAGGTCATTAGGTGCCAAACAGACAGGATCGCTAAAGGGGCAGTTTGTTGCTCAAGGGGCAGTTTGTTGCTTCCCTGGTGTTCTTCATCTCACCTCTCTCTTCCCCACACTCTCTCACTCACCCCTCCCTCTTCCCCCCACCTCTTCTCCCTTTCCTCAGAACTATTTCAGCTGGTTGACAGACGCCAATGTGACAGCCACACTCAAGGGGCAGGTGTGGGTCCCACAGGACCCAGCTCTGCTGCTACAGCCGGCAACTGTGCTACAGCCGAACAGACCAATAGCGCTCATTCCTAGGAACGGTGATTCCGGAGGAGGGTATTACGGGCGGCCTGAAACACTATTTGGAACGGGGTGTGATTTCATTAATTCCGGTGTCATGCTGTGGCGGCTGTCTCCTTTGACCTTTAAGGTGAGAACAAGGGGTGTGTTATGTAGTACAGTGAAGAATTTAGGGGGAAGTTGTGGGTGCTGTGCTGCTTTGGAAGGCAACAAAGGACTCTAAGTCACATGGTAAAACTCCACTTGATGGTTTTGTTAGTTTCGTATAAACCAATGTCTTATCCTAGCGCCTTGCCCTTGCAGTTCCTCAGGCACTGGTATGACCTGGGAGCAGACATGTACCATCGATACTATCCTCCCTGGGAGCAGCCATACCTCAATTGGGTTGCTCGTGATTCGAAATGGAGGAACAAGATGATTGTGGTTCCGTACCGTGAGCTTACGGGGCCTCAGGGAATGATGGTGCGGCATGTGTGGGGCGATATGCACTGGAAAAATAGAGATCAGATGGTGCTTGAAACTCTAGAGATGCTTAGCTCACACAAGTGAATTCCAATCCAAGGCCTCATGGCCTGTGTGTAATGTGTTGTGTTGTGTAGTGGGTATCGTAGCCTGATAAACTGTCTGCACTAAGGTCGTATCCCAGCCTCCGGTCAAGAAGTTGAGGTCAAGAAGTTGAGGCACGCGATTGGTTAAAAAAAATGCTAGGTCAATGCGATTGGTCGCAAGTAGTTTTTGGACCAATCGCATGCCTAGAATGAGTTGGTGTCACGACCTCAACTTCTTGACACCAGCCTGGGATACGACCTAACCCTCTCGTGCTTCTCAACAGTGATCTCTTCTGTTGATGGCACCCGTGCTCATTTTAAGAGGCCCATGTTCTTCGGCTTGAACTGAACGCTAGTAAAATCATCACACCTGAATTTGGCAATACCGGTACTTTCCGGTACCGGTAGGTTAGATTAGAAACGAAGGGAAGATCTTGAATATGGCGAGTGACATGTCACATGCTCATTCCTATGGCAACAGGTACCGTATCAGCACAGCACCATGCAAAGATACAGAAGCAACTGAGACATAATCTAGTCCACCATAGTTGCTGCGAGCAATCGAACATGCCAACCGCACCCCCTTGCACCCACTGTAGTAGCTCCACACAAGTCATGGATATGCCTTGGCTGGCGTGTGAGCGACATCGAGTGATCGAAAGAGCTCCAGCAGGTTGCCGGTTCCGAAGCCTCCACAGCCCCCCCGAGGAAACTGCTGCATGGGGATAGACTTGGGGCCCTTGCTCACTCCCACCCTCTGAAGGATCTCTATGACGACCGTTGGCCTGTGGCGTGGGAAGGGGGAGGGGGGGGGGGGGGGATCCTTTTTTGGTCGACTCAAAAGGGAACTGTTGCAGAGGGACGGCCTTGATGCCCTTGGTCACTCCCACCCTCCGGATAATATTTATGAATACAGTGGGCCTGTGAGTGGGAGGTTGAATGCGATGGGAGGGGGAAGAGAGCGGGAAGGGAGGGGGAAGGGAGGAGGAAGGGAGGGTGAAGGGAGCGGGAAGGGAGAGGGAAGGAAGCAGGAAGGAATGGGGAGGGGAGTGGGAAGGGAGGGGGAAGGGAAAAAGCATGTCATGGGTAGGGCTGATGGGTGGCACTGATGCCGCAGAAGATCTGACCCTCTTGAGGCCCTTTCCACCCTCCGACGAATCTTGATGAAGGAATGGAACGGGCGGGCCTGTGGGATAGCTTGGAAGAGGGAAGGGAGGGACGGAAGACGCACGTCGTGGACCAGGGTTGTGCGGCCCCCTTGGAGCCCCCTTGGAGCCCCCTTTGCTCCGGCACGCTCGAGAATATCAGTGAAGTGAGGGTGGTCCTCCTGTGGGAAGGAGAGGGATACGTGTGGGCCTGTGGGTAGAAGAGGGGTAGGGGTAAGAAAAGGAACAAAGCATGGCATGGGGTGCGGTATTAGGTGGCGCCCGGATTCACTATGCCGCACATGAGGATGCTCATCAGGAAAGGGTGAGCCTGTGGGCAGGCAAAGGTGGGGCGTGATGGAAAATTATCACAAAACCCCCCCTCGAAAATCTCGATGAAGAGGTGGGCTGTGCGGAGGGACAGGTGGGGGGAGGGAAGAAAGAAAGAAGCAAGTTACAATCTGCGCCATTGCAAACGCTGCTCGAATTTTGCTGTTTGGTTTGTTCTTCAGATTATGCAACTTGGTGCATGGATACAATATGGCCTTGCAAGCAAGGGAGAATTATGAGCCCGTGAATTGTGCACAGAACCATTCTCTCATGTCCCCAATAGGCGCCGTAACAACATCTGCAGCAGAAAGCAGCACACCTGTCTCGCACATAACCACACAGGCTCACCTCTCTCCCACGTGCATTACCACTCACAGCTCATCCAGTTTCACCTCTCTCCCACGCGCATTACCACTCACAGCTCATCCACTTTCACCTCTCTCCCACGCGCATTACCACTCACAGCTCATCCACTTTCACCTCTCTCCCACGCGCATTACCACTCACAGCTCATCCAGTTTCACCTCTCTCCCACGCGCATTACCACTCACAGCTCATCCAGTTTCACCTCTCTCCCACGCGCATTACCACTCACAGCTCATCCAGTTTCACCTCTCTACCACGCGCATTACCACTCACAGCTCATCCACTTTCACCTCTCTCCCACGCGCAATACCACTCACAGCTCATCCAGTTTCACCTCTCTCCCACGCGCATTACCACTCACAGCTCATCCACTTTCACCTCTCTCCCACGCGCATTACCACTCACAGCTCATCCACTTTCACCTCTCTCCCATGCGCATTACCACTCACAGCTCATCCAGTTTCACCTCTCTCCCACGCGCATTACCACTCACAGCTCATCCAGTTTCACCTCTCTACCACGCGCATTACCACTCACAGCTCATCCACTTTCACCTCTCCCACGCGCATTACCACTCACAGCTCATCCAGTTTCACCTCTCTCCCACGCGCATTACCACTCACAGCTCATCCACTTTCACCTCTCTCCCACGCGCATTACCACTCACAGCTCATCCACTTTCACCCTCCCACGCGCATTACCACTCACAGCTCATCCAGTTTCACCTCTCTACCACGCGCATTACCACTCACAGCTCATCCACTTTCACCTCTCCCACGCGCATTACCACTCACAGCTCATCCAGTTTCACCTCTCTCCCACGCGCATTACCACTCACAGCTCATCCACTTTCACCTCTCTCCCACGCGCATTACCACTCACAGCTCATCCTCTCTCCCACGCGCATTACCACTCACAGCTCATCCAGTTTCACCTCTCTCCCATGCGCATTACCACTCACAGCTCATCCACTTTCACCTCTCTCCCACGCGCATTACCACTCACAGCTCATCCAGTTTCACCTCTCTCCCACGCGCATTACCACTCACAGCTCATCCAGTTTCACCTCTCTCCCACGCGCATTACCACTCACAGCTCATCCACTTTCACCTCTCTCCCATGCGCATTACCACTCACAGCTCATCCAGTTTCACCTCTCTCCCACGCGCATTACCACTCACAGCTCATCCAGTTTCACCTCTCTACCACGCGCATTACCACTCACAGCTCATCCACTTTCACCTCTCCCACGCGCATTACCACTCACAGCTCATCCAGTTTCACCTCTCTCCCATGCGCATTACCACTCACAGCTCATCCACTTTCACCTCTCTCCCACGCGCATTACCACTCACAGCTCATCCTCTCTCCCACGCGCATTACCACTCACAGCTCATCCAGTTTCACCTCTCTCCCATGCGCATTACCACTCACAGCTCATCCAGTTTCACCTCTCTCCCACGCGCATTACCACTCACAGCTCATCCAGTTTCACCTCTCTCCCACGCGCATTACCACTCACAGCTCATCCAGTTTCACCACTCTCCCACGCGCATTACCACTCACAGCTCATCTACTTTCACCTCTCTCCCACGCGCATTACCACTCACAGCTAATCCACTTTCACCTCTCTCCCATGCGCATTACCACTCACAGCTCATCCAGTTTCACCTCTCTCCCACGCGCATTACCACTCACAGCTCATCCAGTTTCACCTCTCTCCCACGCGCATTACCACTCACAGCTCATCCACTTTCACCTCTCTCCCACGCGCATTACCACTCACAGCTCATCCACTTTCACCTCTCTCCCACGCGCATTACCACTCACAGCTAATCCACTTTCACCTCTCTCCCATGCGCATTACCACTCACAGCTCATCCAGTTTCACCTCTCTCCCACGCGCATTACCACTCACAGCTCATCCAGTTTCACCTCTCTCCCACGCGCATTACCACTCACAGCTCATCCACTTTCACCTCTCTCCCACGCGCATTACCACTCACAGCTCATCCACTTTCACCTCTCTCCCACGCGCATTACCACTCACAGCTCATCCAGTTTCACCTCTCTCCCACGCGCATTACCACTCACAGCTCATCCACTTTCACCTCTCTCCCATGCGCATTACCACTCACAGCTCATCCAGTTTCACCTCTCTCCCACGCGCATTACCACTCACAGCTCATCCAGTTTCACCTCTCTCCCACGCGCATTACCACTCACAGCTCATCCACTTTCACCTCTCTCCCACGCGCATTACCACTCACAGCTCATCCACTTTCACCTCTCTCCCACGCGCATTACCACTCACAGCTCATCCAGTTTCACCTCTCTCCCACGCGCATTACCACTCACAGCTCATCCACTTTCACCTCTCTCCCACGCGCATTACCACTCACAGCTCATCCAGTTTCACCTCTCTCCCACGCGCATTACCACTCACAGCTCATCCAGTTTCACCTCTCTCCCACGCGCATTACCACTCACAGCTCATCCACTTTCACCTCTCTCCCACGCGCATTACCACTCACAGCTCATCCACTTTCACCTCTCTCCCACGCGCATTACCACTCACAGCTCATCCAGTTTCACCTCTCTCCCACGCGCATTACCACTCACAGCTCATCCACTTTCACCTCTCTCCCACGCGCATTACCACTCACAGCTAATCCACTTTCACCTCTCTCCCATGCGCATTACCACTCACAGCTCATCCAGTTTCACCTCTCTCCCACGCGCATTACCACTCACAGCTCATCCAGTTTCACCTCTCTCCCACGCGCATTACCACTCACAGCTCATCCACTTTCACCTCTCTCCCACGCGCATTACCACTCACAGCTCATCCACTTTCACCTCTCTCCCACGCGCATTACCACTCACAGCTCATCCAGTTTCACCTCTCTCCCACGCGCATTACCACTCACAGCTCATCCACTTTCACCTCTCTCCCATGCGCATTACCACTCACAGCTCATCCAGTTTCACCTCTCTCCCACGCGCATTACCACTCACAGCTCATCCAGTTTCACCTCTCTCCCACGCGCATTACCACTCACAGCTCATCCACTTTCACCTCTCTCCCACGCGCATTACCACTCACAGCTCATCCACTTTCACCTCTCTCCCACGCGCATTACCACTCACAGCTCATCCA